AAATACTCAACTGTTATTTGTCACAAAACAGCACAAACAAGAATGAGCCAAAGAGCTGTAACTCACTAACGTAAGCCCTTGTGATAGCCCACCTAACCCAGCTCTCTAACTTAGTTAAGGATTAGTCATAAGGTCCGTTTCCATTCACTTATACGGCAACCTTTTATTCGAAACTGACTCAAGTCGGTTTGGAACGGTGGTAAGTGAGGATAGTTTGTAGGTTGTTGCAGGACGTGTAGTGTTACGTACTTTATTTTAACTTAAGACATGTTTTAACGTGACACAAATGCCATGACCAGGATATTAGCTATCGTTCAGACTGTTATTAAGTACCTTACTCAGTCACAGAAAGGCTTGTGTTTAGAAATCATGACTTTTACGCGATAAAGCAATAAGTTCAATTTTTCGTTCAATCGACTGGAAACTGACAAATATCATACGGTATTCGATTTTAAAACCAAATCGTACACATAGGTACTCAAATAGTAAGTTAAGGACTACTAAGAATATAATTTTACCCTTTTACCTACTAAGATTTTGACAGGTTTAATCGTGGCTGTTCTTAGTTGCGAAGAAATAGTAGTTCCGACTTTCACTATTGTCATGTTTGAATTAATTGTTAATTTTTGTCTCAATTATGGACGATAATGGAAGTCACCTAACCCTAAAAAATTCGATATAATAGACACATTTGTGTCTTGTAGTTGTAAGACTTAAATTATAAAATTGACTGGTAGGAATTACATTACGCTCTCTCTAGTAATTTTATTTGTATTTATGATTAAGTTAAGTTTGTTCGATTTTTTTGTATAAGTGCAATGGAAACTAATTTCCCACGTGTTTAGTATATTTTTTAGTTAGTTATATTTTGATACTCTATTCTTTTTTAAGCAGACATTGTAGGTCTGCATGACATATCGACGATAATCTCTCTATATTATAGCTCTCTAGAATGTACAGTTTTTTCAAAGATCTGTTTTTAATTGTGTAAAACCTGGGATGTGTTTTCACACTTGGTATAAATATTAATTTTGGTTTCATTGTCGCGTATTCAATTTTGTTCATTACTTTTGTGGCAACGCACAAAATGCTTCAATGAGTGTGAAAATACATCCTTCATATTAAGGCCAATAAGCTCTAGTCTCTGTAAATATTTCATACGTACAAAACCCATCCTCTTTTGGTTACGATCCCAAGAATTTTTCGGTTTTTATCAGTATCATCCCATTTTATTATAATAATCCCCATTATATTGATACCTTTTTATGAATAAAACGTAAAAGAGGTACAAGCACAAAGGCACAAAGTATTTTATTTATTCACACCCTTCATTATTTTATAAAATGATAAAAAGTGATCTTTGCAAATAGTTTATTAATATGAGAGACTTTTTTCGTGCATTTTTTATGTTCTACATCTTTTTTTCTTTCATACGTTTTTGTACATTACTCTTTTCCACTGAAAAAAATTATTAAACATTATGATTAATTTTGAGACACTTAAGATCACTTCCCGATAACAAAAAAAAGAGCTCATGGTGGAAAATAGCTTTTTTATTTCTAATAAGGTAAGTATATTTCTCAAATATAAATAGTTGTGCCAAATAAAAAAAAATGTGAGTACAGTTGGAGACAAAATACTTTGGTCGTCAATGTCACTTGAGTGACATTAAATTGTAAAGCATACTTTCGGACCGTTAACCTTATTTTTGGCTACTGTCAATCATAGTGACAAGTTGTACATATTTTTGATAGGAAGATATAATAGCTGTAATTAATTTGAAATTGTCATTAATTTTAACGTTAAATCTTGAATTACATTTAAGTGTCAGAAAAGTGACGACCAAAGTATTTTGTCTCCAACTGTACTCATTTGAGGTTTCATTTCAAAATCAGGAACAATTTTTTTCCAGAATACAGAAATACACTCTGTAAAAAAAAAAAATATTTTTTGTGGAAATCAATGATCTAATACAGAGGCAATCGTCATGAAAGAAAAATTTGTCCGTTTTATTTCAAAATGATTTGTAGTTTGAAAACTAGCATTTAAAATGTTGCTTATTGTTTTATGATTATTTTATAATTGTTGAGTGATTGAGTGTAATTTTGCATTTTGGTTGTGGTGTAGTTGTCTCTGGCCTGTGGCATCGAGTAGCGTTTATTTTTAACCAAATCAGCAGTTCCTCAAGTTAATAATAAGTCGGAAGATTCTATTTGAATCAGTAGAGCCTACGAAAATGCTACGCAACAGTATTAAAGCACATGTGCTACGCCGTTCCAACTCTATTTGTGAATCGCTATGAAAAAATGGATTTATTTATAATAAAGATTTTCTATTTTTATCTCAACCTTGGTGTTTTACATTCCGTACCATGTTGCCACGTGTCTGAGCCGACCCGATAAAAACAATGTAACTGTTGCATGTGGCAAGTTACACGTGACACATTTACCTTCATCCCCAGTTTTCCTATTTATTCTGACAGGTTTATATGAAACATGTGTCTTCATTTGCAGCTTCTTCATAATTATATAGTTCAACAAAAAATTTCTTGGGTTTAGCTTAAAAATGTTAAAATTGGGGCGATGTTTTGCGATTGCGTACTGAGACTTTGCCAAGTCTTATTTAATCAACGATCAGAGGCGTAACAACAAATTTAATTCAATTCATAAAGTAATTTTCAGTACCCGTCTTACTTAATTAAAAACTTGCAAAAACATGACATTTAAGTAGTTTTGTAGAAAGTAAAATTATCACATTTTGCACTTTAAAAAATACTCGAATAATGTTGTCTTATTTTGTTGAATAAATAATATTGACCGTAATCACAATGGAATAGTACTAGCCTACTAGCACCGTTACAATAAATAAATGAATAAGACTTATCTATTCATGTTTTTTGTTTTTTTTTTCATATTCTTAATTTTCATTTTCAATTAATTGCTTTTTGAAGTGGCGATAATGAAACACAAGTGACGAAAATGTTTGATTTTCATGGAATTGATGTTTTCTATGTTTAGTTTTATCAATGATTAATCATCACTGAAATTTCTAGCGTAATTATAATGATTCAACATAGACCAGAGATATAGAGATTATTATTTGTTACCTTGTTTTGCTAAAATATGCATAAGATAAAGATTTATTAGTCTTTTTACAATTAAATCAAGAGTCTATGTGACGTATTTCCTGGTGATTAATGGTCACAGGACTTACGTGGTGTTACCTCCATATTTAGATATGTGTGTGTAATTCATAAAAGCCTTGGTTGTAGAATTCTTGAAAAGGATGTCGATTGATTTTTCCTACAGTAAAACTTGTAAAAAAGCACGGTAAATCAAAATTTTAAACCTATTTAGCACATGACGAGTAAAAATCGAGTCTTTGTTAAATTAGTAATTTTATTTAGAAATATGACTTTTAAAAAGACAAAAAGAGCAGTGAAAAATAGAATGGAACCAGACGTTTTTTGTTTAAACTATTAATTTTTGAAAAACACTAATTGAGGAATTAATTATAAAGTATACTATAAAAATGTAACGTTTCGAAATTTTTTTTTTGAGTACTGCAAAATTTTTAATTTTTTCAATTGGCAATCCACTATGAAACCTTTTTTTTACAAAAGCTATGATCTAAGGATTACAACTATTTACATTTTATTCTATTTTTATGGAAAAAAATCACATGTAAGTCATATAACCCAAAAACAAAAGAAAATTTCAGTCTTAAAACACGATCAAATTTTTTATAGTGCTTTATTTCTTCTTAATTATTATTTTCTGAATGAAAAAAGGCTTGGTTCCATACTTTTGGTTCACCTTGTATAGCTTTATTGTTATGAAAAATTTAAAAATAGACCTACGGTTAATACAAGTGGTCGTCATTTTCATATACCAGGTGAATAAAAAGTATAGAACCAAACGTTTTTTGCTTAAACTATTTATTTTTTGGAAACACTAATTGATGTATCATGAAGTACTATAAAAATGTAATGTTTTATCAAAAACAAAAGTTTCTTTTTTTTTTGTTTTTGAATTCTACTAAATTTTTAATTTTTTGAAATGGAAATCCACTATAAAACCATTTTTCTCATGAAAGTTATGACCTAAGTATTACAATTATCTGCTTTATATTTAATTTTTACAAAAAAAAAATCCCAAATTCCAATTTTTACAAAAAAATCGCATAACTCAAAAACAAAACAAAATTTCGTTCTCAAAATACGATCACATTTTTTATATTACTTTAATTTATATTAATTATTATTTTCTGGAGGCAAATGATTAAAAAAAAAACGGTTTGGTTCCATACTTTCTATTCACCATGTATGTTGCAACTTAAGGTGAGTAACAATTTTTTATGTAATATAGGAATTAAAAAAAAATATTTTTAAAATCTAAAAGTACGTAGAGTGTTACTAAGAAAAAAGGATGTTGATGTCCATTACAAATGAACATTTTAAAGTTTTAATAATTTGTTGGTTTTTAAATGGGTCTTTCAAGGGCCATTGTATAAATGTAATAATTTGAAAAATTGTCAATTTTCCACATTGAATTTTCTATATTTTGTTAGGAAAACGTAAGAATTTTCACGGAAATATTTGTAAACAATATAACTTGAGAAAATGGAAATGAACGCAGTGGAAACAAAGAGCCTAGATATTGGAGTGGTGACTCTTAAGACAGTTAAAATCATATTTACCACAGGAATAAAAAAAATATAGTATTTAATTCGAAACAGGGGCCATAATTCTTCGTCTACGCCTCGTAGGGCAAATTTTATTCGTTTGAAATCGTTCCATATATAATTTTTTTGACCTTTTAACTTAATTCAACTTGTTTGTTGACAATTTTTCCTTTCGATTGTATTATAGTTGAGTGTGTTGGAATAATTCCTGCAGCGGCGTCGCGTATGAGACGCCTCTGTTTGCAGGAGCCGCAAGGTCGGTAAGAGTTATCCGTGGTCGTAGCAGGAGAGGTGATTCAAATGGGCGAGAGAACGTATTGGAAAAGGAAGGTGTTGGTGTTTCTCCGATCCATCGCTTGGTGGCGCTGAATTTGACAGTCCTGCCGTCGTCGTCGTCGTCGTCGCCTTATCAATACCCGTCGATCCGACAACAGCGCTTCCGTCCGCGCTGCTGCGGTGGGTTCCTATATTCAGCGTTCCAACTGCGACCGAAATGACCTCACACATAATTGCCGAATTAATTCTGACAGTTGTAGTGCCGTGGTGAGTGGTTGTGAGGGTGTCATGGACCGAGCCTAGGAGGATGGCCGAGCAGCAGCGAGAGGCGCCAGAGCGCGAGCTCGAGCAGCAAATCCTCCAGATCAAGAAGCAGCACCAGCTCCAGCACCAGATCCTGCTGCAGCACTTCCAGCAGCAGCAGAAGCACCTCGCTGAGCAGCACGAGCAGCAGCTCCGGCAGCACCTGAAGGAGTTCTGGGAGCGCCAGAAGCAGCTGCAGGAGCTGCGCCAGCGAGAGCAGCTGGAGGCGCTGCGCAAGAAGGAGAAGCATGAGGAGAGCGCCGTGGCCTCCACGGAAGTCAAGCACAAACTGCAGGCGTTCCTGAGACAAAGGGCGTCGGGATGCTCCAAGACGTCCAGGACGGACAATTCCTGCTGGTGAGTGCAACAGCTGACGACTGCATTCCTGCCAACCGTTGCTGTTTGTAAACAATGAGGTCGCACTGCGTGATCGGAATATTTCCGGGGACGAGCCGATTCGGGAATTTTATTGTTGATGATTATATCAATAAAAAGATTACGGGAATCCACTAACATTACATCAACTTTTAAAACAAACACGATCGATTTTTTCCATCGTTGTATTATTGGTTTCATAACGTCAACCTTTATTGCAGGAATTGATTGCTTTCTTTGGTTCAAGTTTAAATTTTGTTTATAAACAAACGCTCCTCGCGCATGTATTGATTCAGAAAAATGCAGATATAGATCTCCTTCTGTAAAATTTTTACTTCACGACTTAATCACGACACTAGCTAATGAAAATTTCAAGACCACTTCAAACTTGTAGTTACTCTATTTCATTCAAATCGTCAAATTAATCGAAGATAAAACGACTAGAATATTTATAATCAGTAACCCTTCAAAGGGACGAATTCGACATTTATTATACAAAGCCGGGACATTTTACCATTTAAAATGAACCATATAATTGATTATTTTTTTTGCACTTTCGAAATTTGTTGACAGTCAACAAAATCAATAAGTCATTCGATCTTTTTGTCAAAATACTATGTAGAACAAGTGGATAAATGATTCAAAATTACTTGAATAATTTATTCACTAAAGCATTGTTCTCTGAGAGTTATATGGATATCAGGAATCTTGTTTTAGTTCATATCTAGGATCTACACAGGGTATATATATACCTCATGTTTGAAATTTAGTTTATACAGAAAAAGAATATAAAATTAAGGATCATTTATTGCTTTTAACTTTTTGTTGTCTACTTTATTAAAAATAATGTATTTTAAATAGTTGCCACTGTTACTCATATTATAAATAATTATTGTTCAATGAATATTTATTTGAATAATTGTCATTCTTGTTTTAACGCATAACTATAATCAATTAATTCATATCGATTATGTAATGATTTTTTATTGTTAATTTGAATAGTAGGTACACACCTAAAACAACGTAAGAAACCAAATTATAATAAGAAACGTGATTTATTATGTTCTACTACAGGTGTTTTTTATTAAATTAAAATGAAATTTATACATTATGTTTTACATATTGATTTCATGATTTTACAGTCATTTTCCATAGCTCTGAAAATGATAAAAATATACAGGTACGCCAGAACACGCGCCCCAGAGAAATTTCCGGGAAGATTAGATACCAGGAACATGGAAAAAATGTTTAAAAAATTCTATCTGTCAAAAAATTTTGATTCTTATTTTTTGACATTTGACATTTTTTTATGGTTACTTAATGATACCGGTGATCTTGTATATGTTTTTTCACAATTATTTAGTAAAGGTACAAAAATTTGGCCAATAAAAGCCACACATAACATTAAACAGAGTTACATTTTAGGATACAGCTTTTTTGTTTCCTCTTCTAATAGCCTGTAGCAAAAAAACTTACAACAGAAATAAATAGTCAAAGTGCAAAATTTAAACTCTCATAACTTCTAAGTTTTTATAGATAGAATTTTTTTAACATTTTTTTCATGTTTCTGGTATCTTACCTTACCAGTTTTCTCTGGGGCGCGAGTTCTGGCGCACCTGTAGATTTTAAGCAAAAATTAAATTTTGCTGCAAAACGTTTATGTACTTATTAATCCATTTTTAAGACAATTCAAAGCGGATTTTACTGAAAAAAATACTTTGAAATATAAATGTAAATTATGTCGTGCCATTTCAATCGCCACTTTGTCACTTTTTATAATATTTTTTCTGTATGAATAAATACAGGGGTATTTTGGCTCTAAATTTGTCAACAGGGTCCAATTATTATACAGATTCTCCATTTACACAAAAAACCAAATGTTTGTGACCTGTTTTTAATATTCTGAAATGTACAAAATTGGTAAAAATCACTTATTAAAGCTTTGGTCTCTTAGTTATATCGGAAAACAAGAAGTATTAACGGTCTAGAGAAGCTAATGTTGAGTGGTAAACTAAAAAAATGTTATAAACGTTGAAAAAAGTTTATACTTCAAAACGAATTTTTCGGCAAAATTTAAGAATGGTGTATTTGAATGTTTTTTTAGGACACGTTTATTATAGATTTGTTTACTCATAAGAGAATTACTGTCATAACATAAATTATTTTTAACTTCTTAATTTTTAGGCGAGCTTTTAGAATGCTTATAACAATATAGAACGTTTTTGTTCTTTAAACTTTCAGGTTTCAGTGTAATATCGAAATTTTTGATTGCTTTTGTACTAACTTCGATAAAAAAGTATCGAGAAGAGAATGTATTTATTATTTAAATCAGGCAAACACTGTTGATGGCGAAGCAATTGAAATTTTTCAATTTTTTCCCATATTTTTATGTTTTGAAAGTTTAGATTTCCTGATGCAATAATATAGTATATTGTCACTTATTTTATTATATTTTTCCGATCTAATTTGTTGCAATTAGCATTGTATGGGTTTAATTAATTGAATCTGTGTATTTTCATAATTAACTTTGACGTAATTATACCCACTACATCTTGTAAAGTAAACTTGGTCATTCATTGTTAAAATCGTTCTCTGATTTTTGTAAATACGTATTCATAAATGCTAATTATAGCCAGCTAAAAATAATCAATTGGACTTTATTCATCAATAAAATGTTACAACTGGAATTAATTCTCGAAGCTTATGTAAACTGCGGTTTGTTTAATTTGAAGTATCTCTTAATGTAAAAATCGTTATTTCATAAATTGCAAAGGTGAATAAAATTCTAGTCCTAAAAATAATTCTAGCTGAAGGTGAATTGTAAAATCGTTCTAAAAATAAACTATATGAATATCAAGACAGTGACATTTTATCAGCTACGCTGCTTAAGTTTTAAAACATTTTATGATCTCTATACAGCCAAGTCGGTTATAAAATGAATTATTTTTAGAACTTACTTCATAATACCTGCTTTGTTCAAAAAATAATTAAAAAAAATACAAATATTGGTTGATTGTCAATAATTGACCAAAAGAATTGCAGAGACTTAATCTTTTAAACTAAATGTAGCCGAGTATTAGGATAATTCCGTGCCAAAAGCAACAGTTAGAATCTGAATGAGTTGGCCCTTGCCAAATTTTAACACTTTCATTGCTTAAAATTATACCAAGTCTATTTAATAGAAACTGATTCTTAATTTTCATTAAGGTTAACCACCTGTAACATACAAAGTTCTCTTTATTTCGTGTCAGGGTACTAAATTTAAATAAATAGTAGATCACTTCCGTCAAGGATTTAAATTCATTATCATATTTACATATTTACAGAGTTACACAAATTTATGTTAATCATCGGTTTGTGAAAAACCGCTACAGGAGAATAAAAGATAATTGCAAAATTGGTTTCAGTGTGTCGGAGTGAGCAATTTTCTCAAAAGTAATCTCAACATAAATAATTTTCAAAGAAAATTATTCTGACGTACACAGACATCAAATTTCTAGCTTGAATCTTTGATATTTCATCATTATTCATTAGAAAATACAATCAGGAAGCCAATTATTTACGTAATCAGTCTTCCATTAAATTGAAACGCGTATAGAGAAGCAAACGTAATTATATACCACCGAGATAAAATAAATAAATATGTAAAGTGGAATCGAACTTAAATAAGTTGTAGTAGTTTTTTGTCGCACCTTTTAATTGTTAAACCTTTGGATAAAATCCCACGTCACTAAAAATAAAACAAATTAAATTTACCTACGACAAAAATAGAATTGACCTAATGATTTGAATACTTGTTAAAAATTTTGCAATCTCGATTTTAGTGTCAAAATTACAAACAGTATTTTTTGTAAGAGGTTTAGCACTGATCAAGGATTTATTCTAATCGCCAAATTACTCGTTATTTAGCTACAATAATCGTAAACCGGTTTTATTACATAGAATTTTTAAAAGTTGCGTAGAGGAAGCATATACAATTTTTTTATTTTTAGAATCAGTGGAATTTTTTCTCTTATCATTGATTCTACAACTTTAACGAATTAACGAATATATTAGATAACATACTATCATGGTTTTGATTTTTCACGTCTGATAATAGAGTCGATTTTTTATGCTCTACTTGACTAAAGATAAAATAAACCATGGAGGTATTAATAGATGTTCACGGAGCACCAAAATTGGTGTATTTTTAAATGCCATGTTCTAAATTAGTGATTATGGCTCTAAAAATACACCAAAAACCGATTACAAGAAACCTTCTATGCGTGGTGTATTAAAAATAATATGGGAGCATAAATTTTAAAATCAAAATCTCGCACGCAAGGTTCCATGACAAAAATTGAATTTGAGAGAACGTTTCACTACCTTGGACAAAATATGTAATTGTGGTTTGAATTTAAACCGTTTATTTATGTGAAGTGTGTTAGAGTAATTATAACAGAGTAGTCGTTTTGGTTTGATTCATAAAAATATTTGTTGAAGCTGAGCCAAACCTGAAATGTACGTTACACGGTGGTTTTTCCGAATATTCGAAGCTAGGGATTGTTCTAAAACGAAACATTTTGTTGCTTTTTATTACAAGTTTAATTCTGGTTTGGTTTTTAGGTCAGAGGGAATGGATACAGGGTCTGACTCAACAACTAACAACGATTTTCCCTTAAGGAAAACAGGTAATTACTTCCTTTTGTAGGTGAAGACTAACATACGCACTGACACTAATAACATTGTTTTTATTTCATTTCATGAGGCAGTTGCTAAATAATTTTTTTATGAAATGTCTGCTTCAGTGTTGTTTAATAATGCAACAGTTTTGCGTTGACAAGTTGAAAAAAACACCCCTTGTATTGATTTTTAGGACTTGAATGAGTGTAATTTTAAAATCAATCAATAATTACATAAATTCTTTGTGAAACAATACTTGGTTATAGGAATACTCTACAGAGTTATTCATAAATCTGAAGCAATATTTGAAGCTCAAAAATGAGCTATAAAATGATGTTAATTTAATAATAACTCGTGTCCTATCTCTAGTGATAAGAATTTTACAGCCCTCAGAATGTGAGTATGGAAATTTGTTACATATAAGGTAAAATACCAGGAACATGGAAAAAATGTTAAAAAAAATTATCTATAAAAATTTCGAAGTTATGAGGGTTTAAAGTTTGCACTTTGACTCTATTTATTTCTGTAGAAAAATAATTTTCCAAGTTTTTTTGCTCTAGGCTATAGGAAACAAGGAAGCTGTATCCTAAATTGTAACTCTGTTCAATGTTATTTGTGGCTTTTATTGACAAAATTTTTGTACCTTGTAAATAATTGTAAAAACATGTACAGTTGCGGAATTAAAATTTCGGGCAGTATTGTCATTTTCATAATGTAAACTCTAAAACAACCTTTACATTAATAACCTCATTTTTTCATGTTTATGTCATTTTGACTTATTTACTTTCAAAAATAGTGATTTGTGGCATAATAAAGGACAGGCAGCAGATCAAAGCGATACTTAGTTTAATTAACAAATTTCCTAAGACAGACAATTTGTTTAATTATTTTAACAACAAAAAAAAAAGTTTAATAGTCAAATGTCAGTCATGATAACAGTAAAAGGTAGTTATTTACAGTAAACTTTTTAAAGATACAGAAAAATACTGCCCGCAATTTTAATTCCGCAATTGTACAAGATCATCAGTATCATTAAATAGACATAAAAAATGTCAAATGTCAAAAAAATTATTGTCAAAATTTTTTAATAGATAGAGTTTTTTAAACATTTTTTTCATGTTTCTGGTGTCTTACTTAAAAATTTTCTCTGGGGCGCGAGTTCTGGCGCACCCTGTATACACGACTTATTGAAAATTGTGCCAAGACTCATTGGATTTTCAATAAAAAAGCTTCAAACATGAAGCTTTAATAATAGTTATTAATAAATAACTATTAGTTAATCTTACCGTTTTATTTCTATTTTTTTAATTACAAATTCCGATGACAATTTGTGAAAAAGTTAATAAAGCCTCACATTCTCCATCTATGTCGAGTTGGAAAGAAAATTAAATACCTTTGTTGCCAACCGAGAAAATGTTCTAATACCAGAAATTCGTTGTAGTATTTGTAAAAAGGAAGTAATCCAAGCAATTTATGTGTTCCGATTTATGTTTTGATAGATGCTAGCAACATTTTGACGCTCTCTGTGTGTATTGATTGAACACAAATTTGCTGCTCAAGGACGGGGAAAAGCTCAAACTTATTTATACCTATGTTCGCATATTGCGCTGTTATAAACAGAGTTTCACCCTCGAAACATGCGTATCAAGATAACGATATAAAATAAAATTGATTTCGAGCAAACAAAAAGGATGTCAAATTGTAGTTATTAATTTTTTTCGTCTGTTAATGGTTTTAAAAATTATGTAAAAGGCCACTATAATTTTAGTTAATGAGAAATAATGACATGTAAGGATGCAACGGATGAGACAATGAGAAAGTGACTCACTTCTTTATCGCCTTCATTGTTGGTAAAAATGTTTTCAATGAATTTCTAGTTGTGATGATAAAAATTTATAATACATTTAATGAGTTATTGCTTTTTTAGCATCCGAGCCTAATCTGCTGAAAGTGCGGTTAAAGCAGCGCGTGATGGAGCGCCGCTGCAGCCCCATGAGTAAAAGACACCTTCCCCCGTCGCTCAAGAAGAAGCTCCTGAGCTCGTGCCTGCCCCCCAGCGAGTCCCCGCCTCAAGAACCCCCCAAAGAACTGAGTCCGCCTTGTGAAACGGAAGAATATCAACGACATGCCCTTTTCAGCAGTCCATCGATGCCGAATATTTCTTTAGCCGCCCATCACGTCCTCTCCCCCGACCTTTCCGAGGCCGCCGTCCGTGCCGCCTGCACCGCCAGACTGGGAATGCCCTTGACGGGACAAATGCTCCCTGGGACTCTCCCGTTTTATCCCTCATTACCGGCCATCGAAAGCGAGCACGAAGAAACCCCCCTGGACACAATTAGCGAATTACAGGAACCTCAGCAGTCGAGGGGGGTGATCAGGCCGCTGGGAAGGACGCAGTCTTCGCCGCTTCCTCTAGGACATCCCCTGTTGGAAGGGCCGCCGCCGCCGGTGCCCCAACCGCCGCAGCCGCCCCCCGAAGAACAGGAGCAGAGGGACTTGGAACTCAGGGCCAATGAATCGCGAAGGTAATTACCCAACTGGGATAAGATGAGGAAAATATTTTCAGTTGTTTTCAACTAGTCAAAACAAACGTTTCTTTTTTTAGAACATCATAAATAAATTCTTCACATCTTGAAATTATTATAACACAAATTTAATGTAAGAAATTTTTAATTTTAGAAATTAAAGAAATTTAAGAAATTTAAAATTTAAGAAATTTTTAAATGTGTTTTTGCAAGTTTAGAAATTTTTTAATCCGGGACATTTGACACTTTTTTAGTCTCCTCAACTGTCTTTTGTAGCACGATGTTTTGAAACGTCTCGAATGACATTTTTTTTTAATTTAAGCATTTCTTTAAGAAAATTTTAAATGTGTTTTTGCAATTCTAGAAATTTTTTAATCCGGGACATCTGATACTTTCTTAGTCTCCCCAACTGTCTTTTGTAACACGATGTTTTGAAACATATCGAATGACATTTTTTTAAATTTAAGCATTTCTTTTAAAAATTTTTAAATGTGTTTTTGCAAGTCTACAAATTTTTTAATCCGGGACATCTGACACTTTCTTAGTCTCCCCAGTTGTCTTTTGTAGCACGATGTTTTGAAATGTTTCGAGTGACAGTTTTTTAAATTTAAGCATTTCTTTAAGAAATTTTTAAATGTTTTTTGCAAGTCCAGAAATTTTTGAATCCAGTACATCTGACACTTTCTTAGTCTCCCCAACTGTCTTTTGTAACACGATCTTTTGAAACGTCTTGAATGACATTTTTTTAAATTTAAGCATTTCTTCTAAAAATTTTTAAATGTGCTTTTGCAAGTCTACAATTTTTTTAATCCGGGACATCTGACACTTTTTTAGTCTCCCTAACTGTCACGATGTTTTGAAACGTCTCGATTGGCATTTTTACTACTAAATTTAAACATTTCTTTAAGATTTTTTTTAAAACAGTAAGTAATATTAAAGTGAACTCCACAAATCGATAAATTTTATTTAGTCAAGTTGGGACATGTTTCGGCACCCAGCCATTGAAAATTGTTACACTTTAAAATAAAAAATAAAAAATTAAATGTTCATTGTTTCCTTATTATCGCAAATGGAAAAATATACAGAAGGAATAGGATTTAAGTAAGCATTATTCCTCTGTAAAAAAGTAAAAGGACGAGTGAAGCTGAAGCCTCGCCCGTGAAAATTTGTTTTTTCAGAAGAAGAAGAAGAAAAAAAAATAGTCTTGTAAATTTTTAATTTTTAATTTTAAAGTGTAACAATTTTCAAAGGCTGATGATGGCGCAAGGGTGCCGAAACATGTCCCAACTTGACTAAATAAAATTTATCGATTTCATTTCCTTAAGATTTTTTCTTCTTTTGAAAATCAAAAAGTCAGTACATTTAACACTTTCTTTTTACTTCAAGCCAAAGTAATCCGAAGTAACCCGAAGTGGCCTAAAGTGACCTGAACCGACCTGAAGCTACTCGAAGTGACCCAAACATTATTTTTTACAATCTAAAAGACTCTTTACTAAAAAAAAAACTCTTAATCAAATCCAATAGGATTTGACCACATTGACTAGTTGATAAAATGACTAAATGAGGTGAATTGTCTAATTGCAAGTCGTTGATTTGCTTAGTACGAAATTAAAATTTGTGTAGGTTTTGAGTTCAAAATTATCTCACGTCTTTATCGTAAAATTGATTAAGTGAATAATTGAATTTGGTGAATAATTTTAAATACACCCAGAGTTTCCTCGATATTCTTCGGGATTATTTTTAGACTTGCGTGTAACGATGAATCTGTTAATATGGCTAAGAATAAATTGGTTTAATTAAAAACCATTATTAAAATTGAAACACACAACTGTGGCTGTTTTTTATCACATTAATAATGTTGTTCAGTGTGTTTCTTAATTGTGAAGTTGCGTAAGGGTAATTACGTCGAAGAGTTTGCCCCTTTTGTGACATTTTGAAAAGACTTTGTTGGTGTTACGTGGTGGTCTGATTAATTTTTCTCCTGCTATCGAATGGTTTCCTCATTATGGACCTAAATTTAGACACGATGCGTGCGACGTACAGTAACCGTAAACTACTTGGTTGGTTTAGATATTGACGAGCGTCGAGTTACGAGTGTATTAATTACTGTCACAGGTCGTTTCGTGATATAAATAGTATCTGTAATTGGGTTTTCCTTTTCTCATCTTCGACGCCATTGTTATCTTACGTTGTATTGTTCGAGCATGTCATGTCGTTTTTTTGATCAATTCAAATATTAAGGGTCTTCCACGTGCTCGAACAGGTAGCTGGATTTGTAGTAACTGCAAAATTTAATTGTTTTTCTCTAGATGACTCAATTTATCTAAAAATTAAATAAATAATCAACAATCTCAAACCGAAGGTTACTCCTTTAAAAGTCGTAAATCAATGGAGACATAAATAAATAAATTTTATTTATTTATGGGGTATTAGTTCAAATTTTATGTGGTCAGCTATTATTAGTTTTGGTGTTTTTTATTTATCTTTTATTTATTTTTTGTGGCTATATTTAACTATTAATGAAGGACTTACTTATGTATAGGTTTATTCATAAATATGAAGCAATATTTGAACCTTAAAACTTACCTATAAAATGATCTTAATTTAAATAATAATTCGTGTCCGAAATCTATTGATAAGAATTTTACAGCCCTCGGAATGTGGGTATGGATTTTTTTTTTTTGTAACCATTTGACTAAATATTATAAAATTTGAAATAGTTACTTGCGAGAACATACCCTTTAGGCTATTAATTACGAAAACCGGATACATTTACTCAATTTCCGGTTTCAGCAGTTGCAGGTCACATTTTCTGTGTTTTTCCGTTTTTTTGGTCTCTTAACACTAATTTTTAATTGCTTAAATCTAAAGAGTAATCAATTTTGATTAAAAAACGCATAACCTTTTGTACCACTAAAATGGACCGTTTTAAAGATATTTTAATTTAACTGCACAACGCTGAAAATGAAAAATATGAATTTTGAATAAGTGGTATCCACGGTAACCAATGACCATGGTCACATAAATCCCTGCCAGGTATCTGTTAACTTTGACCATAGATTTTTGTGAATTTTTTAAGAATGAAATGCTACGAGATTTATTCTAACTTATGTTTGGAGTCTGAGGTAAACTCTTTTATTAAATAACTATTTTCGATTAATCGTCTAATAATCGTCCAATTTCAAGTTGACAGATGCTTGACAGCAAAATATGTGACCTTGGTCATTTATTATCACACATTCAAAATTCATACTTTTTGCTTTCAGTGTTGTGTAGTTCTCACTTTAAATTAAAATATCTTTAAAACGGTCCATTTTAGTTATGCGTTTTTTATTCAAAATTGAGTACTCTGTTGTTTTGACAAAAAAAATTAATGTTAAGATGCTAAAAAAAAAAATCTCGATACCCACATTCCGAGGTCTGTAAAATTCTTATCACTAGAGATAGGACACGAGTTTTTATTAAATTAACTTCATTTTATAGTTAATTTGTGAGGTTCAAATATTGCTTCATATTTATGAATAATCCTGTATATTGTTGTTTTTATACAAATTTCTAAGTTTCAAAACACATTTTATCATTCTACAACTGTCTAAATATAGCTGTCGATGACACAGAGAAAGCAGTGTTAATTTGTAATTACTGTTAGTCATCCAGTTTCAAAGTCTAATAATTAATACGTTTAAATTTTTAAACAATCAATCATATTTTCAGCATTCGTCCCCTGTCTCGCGCCCTGAGCAGCCCCGTGGTGCACCTGGGGGCCCCCGACGGCCCCACGCTCTCCCGGCGTCGCGCCTCCTCCACCCCGACAACGGGCTTAGCATACGACAGTCAAATGCTAAAGCACGCATGCATCTGCGGCAACAACGCCATCCACCCCGAGCACGCCGGGCGCCTCCAGAGCATCTGGTCCCGTCTCCTCGAAACTGGTCTCGTGTCCCGCTGCGACCGTCTGCGCCCCCGCAAAGCCTCCACCACGGAGTTGCAAATGTGCCACTCCGAGGCGCACGCCTTGCTCTACGGCACCAGCTCTATGAACCGGCACAAGATGGACATGAGCAAACTGAGCTCTCTCCCCGTCACGGCCTTCGTCCGGTTGCCTTGCGGGGGCATCGGCGTCGACACCGACACCACCTGGAACGAGGTGTACACGGCCCCCGCGGCCCGCATGGCCGTGGGCTGCACCGTGGATCTGGCAGTGCGGACCTGGACGGGCGACATCAGGAACGGGTTCGCCGTGGTGCGGCCCCCAGGCCACCACGCCGAGCCCCAGCAAGCCATGGGCTTCTGCTTCTTCAACTCGGTGGCTATCGCGGCGAGGGTGTTACAACGTGAGCACCGAGTCCACAAGATACTCATTTTCGACTGGGGGGTCCACCATGGGAACGGCACTCAGGATATTTTCTACGACGATCCTCGGGTTCTTGTTATTTCGATGCATCGTCACGACGACGGGAATTTTTTCCCGGGGACTGGGAGTCCGGGGGAGTGCGGCGCGGGGGCCGGTGTGGGGTTCAACGTGAACATTGCGTGGTCCGGGGGGCTCAACCCGCCCCTGGCCGACGCCGAGTACTTGGCGGCTTTTCGCGCGATTGTCATGCCGATTGCTCGCGAGTTCAATCCCGATATCGTCCTGGTGTCCGCAGGATTCGACGCCACGGATGGCCACCAGCCCCCGTTGGGGGGCTATAAAGTCTCGGCGGCGTGTTTCGGGCACATGACCCGGCAGTTGATGCAGTTGGCGAGAGGGAGGGTCGTGTTGGCGCTCGAAGGGGGCTATGACTTGCCCTCGATTTGCGATTCGGCCGAGGAGTGTGTGAGGGTGCTACTTGGGGACAGTCCGTCGTCGATAGCCCCCTCGGAGTTGGCGAGGGCCCCTTGCGGCAATGCCCTCCTCGCGCTCCAGAAAGTGATAAGCGTACAAAGTGCTCATTGGCCGTGTTTGCAGGAGGCCGCCAAGTCGGCTGGGTGTTCTTTCAACGACGCTGTGCGCAACGAGAAAGACGATAAGGATACGGTTAATGCCATGGCGAGTCTTTCGATGCAACATAATATGGTGGGGTCGCCGCCTGGGTTTCATCCAGGGTGTTCGCCGGACGCAGGTCGTCCGTCTGCATGAGGGGGCTGCTGGAGTCTCCAACTGAACATTCCCGCTGTCGCTCAGAGTGACTGCCTCTATTAAATAAAAATAAATCAAATTATCGTGTGTTTTATTTTTGTTAATATATTCAAAGTTTTTAATAAAAACATTTATTTACTTTAAATTAGATGTATTTATTTTTCGAAAAAACTCAATAAATCGCCCGTAATGTTTTCAAGTTGTGGTTTTTATTATTCAAAGACAACCCACACCTTAAAAACTAAAAGGGAACGTTCGGATAATTGTAGAAAAGAGGATATGAGTAGCGGGGTCTTGAAATTATACTAAGATTTGGATGTGTTTATTTTTCATGTTTACAGTAAGCTTACAACAACAACAAACTTTTTATTTTGATTATAACTTAACATTGATACAGCCAAGACTTATTTTTCATTTTAATGGAAAAAAATGAAAACATTCAGACTTAAAAATTTTTTGTTTGTGTTACTCGTATCTTCTTATTCTAATTAATAATAATAATACAAGTAATAATGTATTCCCTAATTTCGAATCATATTAAATAAAACGAAGCATTGCGTCATTATGTATCAGTGGGATAAAAACGTATACGGGAGATGATTAATAAATACTTAAGTTGAACTATACTGAATAAAAAAATAAATCGTCATTTAAAAATTCTAAAAAAAATATCATAACTTTTTGGTGGCCTTGGCAGCAATGTGTATAAATTTGAAATTTTTTGTCCATGACGTTTAAAAATAAATTTAGAAAAACCTCTATTTTTGGCCATTTTATTTTTTTATAAAAAAACTACGGAAGAATTTTTTGATTTATTTTTGGGGTATTGTAGATTACCTACTTATGTTACTGTATTTTTTCATGCAATTTAAATAATGCGTTTTTTCATAAAAAAATAAAAACTATTGAATTTTGCAATCCGTTACAAATACTCAAAATGAAATAAAAACTCTGTGTTACTGTGTTTTTTACTCGTAATTCAGGAACAACATCTTTATTCTTTTGTTTATTTTTAAAATAAATATTTTAATGCGTACAAGTCATTTAATGTTTGAAGGATAATATCGAACAACCACCACAAAAACAATTTTTATTCTTGTGCTTGTGAAGTTTTTATTGATGAATAATAAATAGCAAAAATGAAGAGGTTGCGATAATCAAAAATATTATAGGGAGAGAGATATTTTTGTAACACGATTAATAAATTAGGATAAAAAGAAATGAATGATGGAATGATGGAAAAAAGACAAATTTGTGCATTTTTAGATATGATAAAGAGTTGTCTTACATCTAGCTAATATTCAATATTAATAACATCAAAGAAAAATATTTATAATATTTATTATTAATTAACACATCTACCTTGCAATACCTTTATAAATTAATGATCTATTAAATCAATACTGTTATGATGTATGTTAGTAACTTACTAGTTCTAATATTAACTATTATTGTAACTAGAAAAAAAAATGTGTCACCACATAAATGTGACTCAATTTTTTATTCCAATAATATATTTTTTTATCATTATACTGTAATGACGAAATGAATCTTCATAATTTTTGGAAGAATTTGTGGCCAAGCTTTAATATGTATTCAGTTTTGAAGTTATCCACGATTTGCATTTTTTTTATTTTTTCATGCATTCCGCCGTCAACGATTCTCCGATAATATTTTTTTGTCCAATAAGGAAAATTTTGCATATTTATAAAATATTCCGAAATTAAGTTTAATTGTCTTTTATATGTAAGTTTCCATCTAAAAATATGCATTTGAAACGTTTCCAAATACACTGTGTTATGTAAATCATCTAGAGCTGCCAATTTTTTAAATTTTGAGTAAGTAATTTCAGGATATTTAGTTAACAATTTAGCTGAACATATGAGCACTTTTTATTAATGATGATATGAGTTATTTTAATTAGTATCATTTTTTAATGAATGTTTTACTGTCAAATGTGATTTTAAATGTCTTAAAAGAAGTTAATTTAACTGGAAATAAAAAAATAGTAGTAGAGGCATCAGGTGCTTCATTACTCCCTAAATAAGGGAAAACCAATAAAAAATTACCCACTTTTGAAAAAATGTCAGGTTGGGAAGTGGCCAGTTCGCAACCTGACCTCTATATTTCATATCGATTGTTAAATGAAGTTGAAATGTCATTCTTTCTTACTATTATTTTATGATTGTGAATAAAAAAATAAAGAAAGTTAATATGCAAATAAATGTTGAAGTAGGTGGTTAATAAATAATTGGAAACTAATTGCAAATTTGGGGAGAATATGAAAAATGGTGGAGGTGCCAGGCTAAACATCAATGAAACACCAATAATTCAACTTAGTCAGCTGAATAGTTAATCGATTATGGTGAAAAACAGGTCTCTGCACCGTCCTGAACACCCCAAAAGATCCTGCAAGTCCTGCGGCGCTTGCGCCATCCCTTAGTATGGATTTTCTGTATTGCCAGTGGATGCTGGCAAAGCATGGCTGATAGTCCTGATGCCGGCAATTTCACTCTTCTAAAATGGTGAGTCATCTTATTACTTAATTGTTCCATAGTTTGCCTTTCTTTATTTTTGCGGTTTGCTTATCAGTATAAATAGTTTTATTTAAACATTTGTTCCTGTTGCGGTAATCCGTCAATGTAATGAATGATATAGAAATTGAAGTGAAAGAAAGAAGGAAACAATAATTTATTAAGTGTTACTTGGATATTTAAGTTTTGTAATTTTTGCCAATTGTGAAGTGAAGGTGGGATCTAAATTTTTAATGTTTGATCGATTTCGCGGTGTTCAACTTATGCAACTTTTGCAATATTTTTTCGCGTAATAGAATAATAAGTTAGTACAACTTTTCCTATTTCTTTAAAAAAATCGTAAGTACTCTATATTTAATATTTTAAGGCAGTCCTCTTGAATGCAATTTAATGTTATATTAATTGATCAAAATGCAGGAAATTAAAATTGAAATAATCAAATTAAAATCAGACTATCTTACTTCAGTGGCCGATGTCAATTGCTAATAAATGCCAATTCTACACTAATGTTAAGTGTCCATTTAGTAGTTCATAATGAATTTCTTTGGTGTAATAATGAATGCACTTCTAGAATTTTTAAAAAATTCAGATTAAAATAAAAGCCCATACTTTCCAAACTACGGGTACGTAAGTTTTTTTTATTAAGAAAACAGTTTTCGAAACAATTTTTTGCTAAAATGGAAAAATATAAGTGTTACTTCTTTTTTATTAATTAGAAAACTAAACATTATCTAATTTCCTTATTTTTATTTAAATTTTAATACGTAATCAAGCACAATCTCAAAAATTAAAAAAGAAAGAATTTTTTGTGTTTTCAACTTTACCATGCGTAAAAGTAAATATGTAAAAAGCTTTCCTTTTTAAAATTCCCCTAAAATTGAATTTCTATAAAGTACTGCTTTTATTGCTGAAACAAGAATGTTATTACACAGTTGATATCTTTGATAGTAATATAAAGTTATAAAGCTGATATTTTAAACCCCCACATTTTTTCTTTTTTTGTATTATTTTCTCTTAGTTCAGAATTTTATTAAATAAGAAACAAAGAATGAAAATAATTGAGAAATTGAGTATATATTGAAATTTAAGTGCATGCTAATTGCTAAATTTTAAATTTAGATATTCCAAAAGTAAGTAATTTTTAATCTTTTTGTAAACGAAATTGTTTAAACAATTCTGTCCGTTGTTATTCCCTATCTATCTTATCTTTATCACTATTTCTGATAATGTTGTACCTCTAATATTTTTGCAGTATCTACAAATCATAACGGTTAAAAAGATGACAGCTTTTGGTTAATTAAAATTGAGTCCATTTTAGTTAATTCATAATCACAACACAACGAGAATTATTGAAAATTTTTTGGTATGTATTCAAAATTGTTCACTGTACATTATTTATTCGGAAAGTGAAAACTGCATCATCGATATCTCCATTTTTGACGTGTCAATAGATTAGGATTTTATATAGGTAGCTCCTTGTGAAAAATATTTGAAATATTTCTGTTAGTTTGCAAACAATTGATTACATAATATGTGTTAAAAAATTGTATCATTGTTATCAAAAATAACACAATTAACAATAAAATACGCTATCGACGGTTTTCGATTGCATTTTATGTTGTTAGTTTTACTGTCTAAAGTTTTGATAAAACTAACAGTCCAGTGTACTACAACACTTGTGTTCAAGTGCAACAAAATGTGTCATTAGGTCGAAAATGGTAAAAAACATCAATTCAATTTCAAATCATGCAAATGAAATTTATTTGCTTAACACCCTGCATAATAACAGTATCTTTTGAGAAAACTATTACCTCATTTGCTCCTGTGTTGTTTACAATTTGCTTGCTAAATAAATAAAACGCAAATGGAGTGTATTTGAAAATACAGGCTGCGCCAGAACTCGCGCCCAAGAGAAAAGGTAAGACACTAGGATCATGGAAAAAATGTTAAAAAAATTTCATCCATAAAAATTTCGAAGTTATGAGGGTTTAAATTTTGCTCTTTGACTCTATTTATTTCAGTTGGAAAAATAATTTTCCAAGTTTTTTTACTACAGGCTATTAGAAGAGGAAAAAAGGGAACTGTATCCTAAATTGTAACTCTGTTTTACGTTATTTGTGGCTTTTATTGTCAATTTTTTTGTTCTTTTACTAAATAATTATAAAAAAACATATACAAGATCATCAGTATCATTAAATAGACATAAAAAATGTCAAATGTCAAAAAAATAATGTCAACATATTTGACAGATAGAATTTTTTCCTAGTATCTTATCTTACTTGAAAATTTTCTCTGGGGCGCGAGTTCTGGCGTACCCTGTATATTAAGTTCCTGTGAAAATATAAAATAAATACCTACTTTGCTATCGTGAGGAAGTATCGATTTTGTTGAAATATTTGTAGCGTCATGAGGACCAACTTAACGAGAGCAAGGTCAAAATTTACTCTTAATAATGCAAACTAATAATTATTGCAAATGCCAATTTTTTATTTTTTGCCCTATTGTTTACATGTTAATAACGATGCAAATGGGAAAGGTAAAGCTTCGTTTACGGTTTCTGGTCATTGTTAGTAGTAGCGAGTCTTGTTTGTGCAATTATTCTATTTTCGAAGCGGTCAGAAAAGATGATACTGGTTTACATACGCCCCTCGAAGTTGTCATTAGACGTTGGGGTTTCAAGTTTTAGTTCTAATTCGCAAACTATCCAAATAGATAACAATGGAGTGTCCATGAAGATGCCTCCGCGACTCTCTGCGCGCCGGCTATGCCTCGTAATCTTCTTCTTCGGAGGTGTAACAGTGCTGGTGACTTTACATCATCGGCTGGCATGGCCTTCGACGAAATCGAGGATCTCTGCCTCCGAAGAAGAGGTTGTTTTGAGTCAAACAACTCTTCCCTCCATAGCTGCGGTGGAGGAACATGAGACCGAACCACCGGTGAAGAGTCAGGAGAAAGCGTGGTTTTTCGGAGGAGGGACGCTTTTCCCCACGGCTAGCAAAGGACTTCCTAGGCTTTTCCCGGATCAAACTGATGGGGACCGAGTCATCGAACAGCTTCTATACGTGCCAGAGGATTACCAAGGTAAAAATTAGCACTTTTCGGGTGCCTCTAATTTCTTGAGTAAACGCGTAACTTTTGCAACTAACATCTTACTTAAATTTAGCACTAAGCAAGTGAAGTAAATAAATACATTTTGACGGAATAAAAACAAAAATTAAACTACTCGGCGTTAAAAAAAAACAAAGATTTTTGTTTATTTATGCAACAAGTGAGTAAAGTAACACTTTTCTTAAAAAAGTTAAACAAAAGATTTTTTCTACGTCCGCCACATTACAGAAATATCGAGCGATCAAGATAATTTGTAATCGAGTCATCCTTGGATCCGAAGACGTATGTCTGTAAAATGTCAAGTAAAATGACAAGTCGAAAGGTAAAGTGGCATGATCAAAAAGGTGATGATTATAATACCTAAATTTATAATTTACCTTCAAAAAAGAACGGTCCATCGTATTATTATACGTGCCCATTTTGACGTTTTACCTTTCGACTTGTCATTTTATTTGACATTTCATGTGTAGTTAGTTCAAAAACAGACATACGTTCTCGGATGCTAAGAAGACTCGATTACAAATTATCTTGATCGCCTGATATAAAAATTAAAACTTTCGTCACTTGCACTTTTGTCTTTTTCACATGAATGAAAATAATGCTACGTTTTATAACAGTTTAGAAAAAAAAATTCTGCACTTATAATATGCCAGAATTTGTGTTTCTTTTATTGGAAAAAGTGTTAAAGGAAGAAACATTTTCCAAATTCAAATACCATGAGAGTTATGAGAGTTTAAACTTTGCACTTTGACTCTATTTATTTCTATTGAAAAAATAATTTTCCATTTGTTTTTGCTACTGTTTATCAGAAGAGGAAACAAGGAAGCTGTATCCTAAATCGTAACTCTTTTTAATCCTATTTGTCGCTTTTATTGGCAAAATTTTGGTACCTTTACTAAATAATTGTAAAAAAACATATACAAGATGGTACCATTAAATAAACATAAAAAAATATCAAATGTCAAAAAATAAATATCAACATTTTTTGACAGATAGAATTTTTTAAACATTTTTTTCATGTTCCTGGTATCTTATCTTCCTTGAAATTTTTCTCTGGGGCGCAAGTTCTGGCGCACTCTGTATATTTAGTATTCGCATTTCGCAGCTAAATCAATTGATAAATTTAATTGGGGAGTGCTTAAATTTTGTTCTAGATATTCAGTAATTCTTTCCTATAGAATAAATGGTACCTACTTGTTCATAGAAAACAATTATTAACAATATGGGTTTGGTCTTAAATATCATAGAGATATTAGAGGTGGAAATATTTTTCAATCGACAAAAAAATTTGCTATACCAGCATTAGGCTTTTTATATCGCAATATATTAAAACCTTTTTGGAAAAATAATAAAGAAGATATCATTCAAAGTGTAACTTCAGGGCTTAAAATATAGCGTCTACATACGTAAAATCACCGCCGTTTTCTACATATAAAGAGGCAATTATAAATCCTATTCAAAACAAAATGAAAGAAAAATCGTTGAATGAACATTTACGGGGCGACGGATTAAAAAAGGTTAAGTCAAAAAATCGATTAACTAAAAAATCAAAGGAAGAACAAGACAAAATGCTTATAGAAACAAAGTGTTCTGAAGGGGCCTTACTAGTAGTTAAATAAAATCATTGGGTTTGTTATAAATGCGACTACTTTTTTGACTAAATATCGCAAGTCAAGTTTTCCTTTCAGGAGTAAAAATTCTCTTTTTGCTTTTACCATGATATTTACAAACGTTGCCTTTTTCTTGTTTCTTACTACTTCAGCAAAAGGTACATTGTAGATCATCGCCATTCGACATTTTGCACTACTAACTGCACTAGTTAAATAAATAAACACTTTCGAAAATCTCAACACAAATTCCGATACAACCGCGTGATGTGTGTTTATAAGCGTTGTTATGATTTTATTACTTGCAAAGCGGCCTGATTATTTTGTTCATTTACTTGCTGATTATTGTTGCTCTTTACTCACTTTTCACTTTCACTTTTACTCCTAAGAATATAAAGTTAATTTCTACATACAGTCAGAATTCGCGCCCCAGAGAAAAAATTCAAGTAAGATAAGATATCAGGAACATGGAAAAAATGTTTAAAAAATTCCTGCTGTCAAAAAATTTTCACATTTATTTTTTGACATTTGATATTGATTGATGATCTTGTATATGTTTTTTTTAAATAATTATTTAGTAAAGCTAAAAAAAATTGCCAATAAAAGCTACAAATAACATTAAACAGAAGGATATAGCTTCCTTGTTTCCTCTTCTAATACTCGTAGCCCGTAGAAAAAAAAAAACTTGGAAAATGATTTTACCAACAGAAATAAATAGTCAAAGTGCAAAATTTAAACCCTCATAACTTCGAAGTTTTTATGAATAGAATTTTTTTTTACATTTTTTCCATGTTCCTGGTATCATACCTTTTCTGGGTCTCGAGTTCTGGCGCACCCTGTATAAGAGGTTAACAAAATTTATGAAACCAAGTGTTTTTTTAATCACAATAAATTAATTAATAAAAATTAAAGTGCTACAAAAATGTGTTTCTGTGTCGAGAATGAATTTTTTTTTGTTTTGTTTTTGAGTTTTTTGAGAGTTTTTCAAAATGGCAACTTATTCGATTTTTATATTTTTCCGATAAAAATTGAATAAGGTGTAGATAGTAGTACTCTTTAATGAGATCACAGTAATTATCATTTGAAAAAATTAAAAATATTGCAGAACTCAAAAACAATAAAAATTGAAAAGTACTTTATCGATGATTAGATAGTTTTTTCAAAAAGTAGATAGTTTAAGCAAAAATGCTCGGTTCTATACTTTCTGTTACTTTCAAGTGCATGGGGAAAAAGTGGAGAATGAAAATTGAAAAACGGTGTTTTTTTGTAGCTCATTTTTGTGTAATTTTATATCAGGGTTCGACACGCCCGAGAAAGTGATCCTCGCCTACAACGGCTTAGGCACTTGGGGTCAGAGGTCAGGTCCTGGCAGTTTTCATGGTTGTCCTGTGAGCCGGTGCAGTTTGACTGATGATCGCAGCAGAGCCGCTGATGCCGATGCAATTCTCTACAAGGATCATTTTATTCATCCTTCAGTCTCCAGGCCACTGCACCAAGTGTGGATAATGTATTTTTTAGAATGTCCTTACCATACCCAAAGTATTAAATTCCCTGATGTAATCAACTGGACGGCTACTTATCGCAGAGACAGTGATCTTGTCGCACCCTACGAAAGGTGGACTTACTTCGACCCTCAGGTGAGACAAAGACAAGGATTTTTGGTGATACAAAATTCTTGAGTTGTGTTAAAAATAATCCTCTTTTACTGCTAACACGAGGCGACAAAAAAAGTCATGTCGTGACAACTTGATAAATTATACAGGGTGTTCCGTCTAAACCCCACATTAAAAGTATTGGGAGTTCGAATAATTATATTTGTTTGAAAATTGGTACATAGCCATAATGCATTAAGTCCTCCTAAATGAAAATATTTTCAAGATGGCGGCACTTCCAGTTATACCGGAAGTCGGTCTCAACTTTCTTATTTTAAATGGGAAGCTTTATTTTTTACTGCATTTTTGGATTAGTCTGGTTATTTTAAGGGAGTTTTCATCAGCTTTCCCTATACCTAAATTTAGCCGTTTTTGGAGTTTTTCAAAAATTTTTGGATCTGCACCTTACACTTTAAAAATCGGTAACTCTGCTATTTTTTAAAATTTGGAATTCGTTTTCGAAGAAATTCGAAGTAAATCGAAATAATATAAAAAAAAACCCTACGAGTATTTTTTTCTTCATCACCATCGTGTAAAGCATCTTTTTATTAGTTAGAATCCAAATTTTTAAAATAATATACCGAGTAGTTTTTAAGATATGATTGTTTGAAGTTAAGGTTTGCTAATCAAGCATTGCGCCATATAGGAAAAATGCATGATAATCTTCCTTAAAATTGCATTTTTATAAAAGTATTTGTTTTAAGACTCTTCTTTTGCTTAAAAATGGTCGATTGCATCTTCTTTGTTTTAATTAGAATAACCAAAAACTGTTTCTTTACTTATAACAAACAAATAGTACCTGCATACTAATTAAAGCAAATAAAGAGTTTTTTTGAGCAGAGAGGATCTAGAAGTTTAAGGCACGAGCCTTAAATATAAGGGCAAATCTTTTTCAAATTATTTTTAATTCATATTTTAGGAGCAGTTCTTTTTTAGAACAAAACAATCTACTTACGAATTTATAAAATTATATTTGAATTTTTAACAAAATTGTTTTTTTTTCCGATTCAAAATATTGATAGTATTATGCAAATGTAAATCCATTTTGTCACCTACATTTCACTAATATTAGAAATTTAATTTAACAATAGCATATCGTTCAGAAGGTGCGAAACTAAATTGAAAAAACTAATTCTTGGTATTAGCATTTTTGTCAACTTTCAAATAATTAATTTCGATGTCTAAAAACAGAAAGATAAATAGATGGTTCCGCCACAATGATAGTTATAATAAAATGAATCAGAACAAACAAAAAATATATTGCATAATTTATTAAAAATTATTATTCCTTTTATTTGAAATTTTTGGAATTTTTAGTCTTTTACAGAAAATTACATAATTACAGTTTTTAAGAAATATAGTAAACAAATTGTTTGTTTTTTTTACAATTCGACGTTGTTCCTGAATTTAAAAAGTACCTCACACACACACACACACTAACCCAGAATTTTTATCTCATTTTGAGTATTTGTAACGCATTGCAAGATTCAATAGTTTTTATTAAAAAAACGCATTATTATTAATATTTAATTAATTAATATTTATTTAAATTGCATGAAAAAAATACAGTAACATAAGTAGGTAATCTACAATACACCAAAAATAAATCAAAAAATTCTTCCGTAGAGTTTTGTTATAAAAAAATAAAATGGCCAAAAATAGAGGTTTTTTTAAATTTATTTTTAAACGGCACGGACAAAAAATTTCAAATTAATATATTTTGCTGCTAAGGCCATCAAAAAGTTATGATCATTTTTTCAGAATTTATTTTTTTATTCAGTATAGTTCAACCTTAACTTCAAAAAATCATATCGTGAAAACTACTGGGTATATTCTTTTGAAAATTTGGATTACAACTAATAAATTGATGCTCTACACGATGGTGGTGATGAGAAAATTTACTCGTAGGGTTTTTCTTAGATTATTTCGATTTACTCGAATTTCTTCGAACAGTGTTCGAAATATTTAATTTCAAATTGCATATCATTCTAAAGGGCAAGTCCATTCCTTTAGAATGGTCTTTAGTTGAAGGAAATCAGCCTAATAGTTATTCAGTAATGATTTTTCAAAGTTAAAGTATTTTAAATTCATTTAAATTAGAAAAAAAATATTTAGTTCAAAGTGTGTGGACTTTTTGAAATTTTTTTAGTGCATTTGATTTGTCTCACTGAGACAAGTTATCACGACATGACTTTTTTTGTCACCCTGTGTAATTGGTATATAAAGTTGAGGCAAAAAAAGTGTGAAAGGGGTTTTTGTGTTGTTGCAGGTCCGCCAGAAGGTGCAGAACCGCGATTACAGCGCAAATAAGACAAAAAAAGTGGCTTGGTTCGTATCGAACTGTGGTGCACGCAACGGGCGATTGGCTTACGCTCGCGAGCTTTCTAAATACATCCAAGTGGATATTTACGGCATGTGTGGCCCCCTGACATGCCCCCGATCTGATAAAAAATGCTTCGATTTGTTGGACCGAGAGTACAAATTTTATCTAGCATTCGAAAATTCCAATTGTCGGGATTACATCACTGAGAAGTTCTACGTCAACGGATTAGGGCAGAATGTGCTACCCATTGTGATGGGCGCTCGCCCGGAGGATTACCAGAGAAGCGCCCCGGAGGGTTCTTACATACACGTCGACGAGTTCGCAGGGCCTGCGGAGTTGGCTGCGTATTTACATAGACTGGATAAAGATAATACACTTTACAATTCCTATTTCAAATGGAAAGGGACGGGACAGTTTATCAATACATTCTTTTGGTGTAGACTTTGTGCAATGTTGCATGCTCCCAGAGTACATAGACATTACGATGATATTAACGACTGGTGGAGAGGACCAGGGGTCTGTTCTTCCAAGTCGTGGAGAAACGCCGATTTTGTGTAGACGCACATCAAAAATAGTGTTTAATACTATTTGCCGAGTCAGTTTGTTGTTGTTTTGTTGTACAGATGTAAGTTATTAGTGATTTATTAAGTTTTTGCTACAGGGGTTTTCATTTACCCAAATATCTCAATTTCCCCGATTCCCCTTACATATTGAACAAACCAAACGGCAAAAACATATACAGGGTGTTTCACACAACTTTACGAGGCTTGCACCTAATGTCCGCACCCAAATATACAAAATTCACAAAACACTAGATACAAAAAATACACATTTAATTATTTAATTTTTGGAAACCCATGATAGTAGTTGTCACTGTTTCATTAATAGTCATAAACTGCAGTTTTTCAGAAATAATTATCATTTGTTCTATCAAGAGACGGCATTAATATGATTCTAGTTTATCTATCTTAATCACTAACTAACTAAAAATGTAATTTTTGAAAAGGTGAACAAACTAGAGAAGATTATCCAATTTTTCAAAATTTGTGATCGAGTTCGTATGGAAATATGTATTGTTGATTGCATCTTACAGGCGCCTCGTAAAATTATATGAAACACCCTGTACAGGGTGTCCCAGCGAGTTGGTAAAGTCCATTATTGACCATTTAAAATATTTAAATAAATTTATAGACGTACACGTCCTCATCTGCATCACCTAAAATTATGTTCAAGTATACAGGATGTTTCAGAATAGTTACAATGCAAACTTATGTTTTTTTAAATGGAACATCCTATATTTTTTACGTTTTTGGATGTACTTTTTAAAACTAACATCTTTAAGCGAAACTCCCATTGGCCAATTTTCTTAGTTTTTGAAATAATGTAATCTTTGACGAAAACGCACACTTTTTAAAAATGTATTACACCAAAACAAAAAACAATAATAAAAAAATTAATTCAGCTTAAAAGAAGAAAGAGTTGCAGTCGAGAAGTTAAATAAATGTAACTCTCTTAAAAGTTGAATAACTTAAGAATTTTAAAAGGAACACTTTTTTTTTAATTTTATCGCATCTAAAAGCTAGACTTTTAAATTTTCTTTCCAAAACATAAACAAATGCCTCTTACTGATATTTAATTTTAAGCATTGACAAAATTTAACCTTGTTTTAGTAATCAAAAGGTGAAATTTTCAGGTAACAATAACATTCATGATACCCATTGAATGATATGCATTGTTGCTGCAATCAACATGCATTTAAAGTTAAATATCTTTTTATTATTTGTTAACTTTATTAGACTAATAATTTAATATCTTTGAAAACAAAACAAAAAAAAAACAAAAAATCGGTTCTTCCATTTAATTTTTTTAAGTTATTGCACTTTTAATAAACTTTTTATTTTTTTTAATTAAATTAAAAACTATTACAGCTTTAAGTTTGAACATGTCTCTTTAAAGTGGTGACATTCTTGTTTTTCTAGTATTTTTAGTTTTGCAAAATCGGCCGATAAAAGTTTATCCTAAAAATGCTATAAAATAAAGGGTGTTTTATTAAAAAAATATAAGTTTGTATTGCCCTCGAAAAGACAAATTTTGAATTAAAAAAACTACACATTCCAATGATGAGTCGCTTAGAGCTTTAAAATCAATTTTAACAGAAACATATTTAAAAATCGTATAACATCTACAATTTTGTTTAGGTACTCAAGTTTTGGGAAACCTTTAAATATGCAAAAGTTTTTTTTATGTTGAAAACACTCACAGGAAGTGAGTTTTTGTGAGATTATGAGTATTCAAAGATTTTAGTTCCAAATGCAATGACCTACAGTTGAGAAAGAAATTGTTCAAAAACGTGTAATGATGAATTTTTTTGACTAAGCGATCAGTTCAGTCAATTATTCATTTAGATGTATGAATTTGCAAAGAATGAATCAATATTTTTTTTGAAAAAGTAATAAAAAGGTCAAGCAACTACCGGGTAAAATGGTTGTGATAAAAAATTTATTGGCAACACTGCATTATTGGTGATCCTTCTAATTTATTATATCGCAAATGAATGACAATTGAATTTGAGAATCAAGCTTGCCAAACTGAGATCTAAAATTTGACTTAAAGATCAAAATCACATTATTAACAGTAACCCGTTACCTAATATGTTACAACAAATTAAAAAAAAAATGCAATACACTAATTTCGTGGATTGTGAACAAGGTTTTCGAATAAAACACCTTACTGACTTGGGTATTTAATACTTTATTGAACTGATGATTTCGATCCCTAGTAAATGAAAATTGTTAACAAAATAAATATCTAGCATCGAATCAAACTCTAATGAACACATCGATGTGTATTACGATATGGTTAGTAGGAGTATATTTCAACAACATGGTAGACAAGCATTTCTATGATATGACAAAATGATATGATTAGCGATGATCGGCAGGTGGCGGTGGTTGATTCACTCTCCCTGGAGTATCCTGATTCAACTGCGACGCCGTCACACTCCTGGTTTGCATGGTCGAGGTGGGCGGTTCATCTAGCAACTGCCTCAACCTTTGCAACTGAGCCTCCAACTGCCTATTATGATCCTCCAAAATCTGCATCCTGGCCTCCAACCTCCCTTTATGCTGCCTCAAAAGCCTGGCTTCCGCGAGTACATCGTGTTGAGGTTGAGGTGGATGCGGAGTTGCTCCTCGTTGAAGCTGTTCGTACTCCTGTCTCAAGGCCGCATTCTCCGCCTCCAACTCTCTTATCATTTCCTGCAATTCCGCTCTTTGTTCCTCGTCAATAACCAGCATGAGTTGGCCGGGACTCCCTGGACCTTCAATTGTTTGACAATAATCGGCGATTAGTCGGTGCTCGTCCTCGGGGGAGGCAGCTCTCAATTCGACTTCAGCCAATCGACTTGCGTAAATTTCCAACCGCGAATGCATATCGTTGTGTTGGGGGGAAGCAACGGGACTCTCCAATTCGTCTCCTTCCAAGACTGATCTCACAGGCAAATACCCCATTCGAGGATGCTTCATGAAGTATCTTTTACTCTTGAATTTGTTCTTCAAAGCCTTGGTGAAATCTCGCATGTCTTCAACTGATGTCGTCGCAGCGCAATACTCATGCATCGGATGTGATAATTTGTGGCCTTTGGTCAATCTCCCGGCGAAAAAACAAGACTGACACATATCGAAATTGAAACATTTCAAACACCTATATCTTAAACCGACTATTGGATATTGTTTACAACTGTTGCATTTAGCTTGATGTTTGGCTGTTTCCGCGGCTGCTAATCGATGCAAAACCGGTAGCCAGACCAACGATTGGGGCTCTTGTTTCAACCAAGCCAAAAAATGGGTCACTTCCAAGTCCTCACGTTCTCCCAAACAACTGCGGACTGAGGGTTCGATGTTCGAGCCGCCGAATGCCGCAACTTCGCCCAATTGGCGCGGAACTTGGAGGACATCATGGAGTAGCAATCCGAGTTTTCTTTGATCGGCTTTTTGTTGCGGATCGGCTATCAAGCGGAACAAATAACGATATTTGTCCTCCAAATGCCCCTTACTCAAAAGAGTCAAACCGACCTACAACCATAATTTAAAAAAAACCTGCCAGTTCCAAGTAGTCCAGTCAGTAGGGAGTTTTGCCCTACAAAAACTGGGGTAGTAGTAATTTTTTAATATGTCTAAGGTCTAGGCCTTGACAAAAAATCCAACTTTTCGATCTTGGATGAAAGGTACAAAAAATAGGTTTTTCCAAAATAACTCCGCAGCGGTTGATTCTACGGCAAAAGTGTTCAGATAAAAGTTAAAGAAGATAAAATTTCTCACATTTTTTGTATCAACATTTTTTTTGTAACTCTAATGTATAACGAGTTACAGCGGCGGAAATATGAACATTTTTTCCAAAAAATATTAAAACTCCCCATTTTCGACTGTGAATTTTGTAAGAACAAATTACACTTGTTTTTAATGTTTTTATACTGTGATATGTATTTCAAATTACACTGATTTTTCAAAATGCATATTTGTTATTAAGAGGTATATCAACAAAATTATAAGTTTTCTATGCATATCTGATGTTTTTTGATTAAAATAGGTCAATTTAAAAAGTGCATATTTTGGCAACTTCGTGCATATTTTAGGAAATATTGCAAATCACAAATTTCTAATTAAAAATTTCAGTTCAAGTTAAAAATTAGACAGTTTAAGAAAAAAATCCGATTACAAAATATGTTAAAGAGAAAAATTGTTCAAACTTTTGAGATTACCATACTATTAATATTTTTTTCTTAAATAAAACGGTTTTTTATTTATTGTTTTACAAAGATATGTTCCTGCATTTTATAAATGTACAAAAATATTTATTAAAAATGTTACAATTTATGACAAACTTTACCTGTTGTGAAAACCGACCAAGGGGTGGTACGTTTAAACAATTAATTAAAATAAAAAATATATTGGCAGCGCTTCTTTACAACTTTTAAACATTCATCAATTTACTTAAAAAAAAAACGAGTAGTTTATTAAAAAAAAATTTTTAGTACTTGTAAGTCAAACATTTTTTTAACAAAAAGTGTTAAGTACACAAAAAGAATTGCACAGCAACAATTCTTATAACAAGCTGGTTGTCTAGAAAAAAATTGTGGTAAATTTCCATTAAAAAAAAATTGTTAGTACTTATGTGTATCTCGTAAGTATAAACAATTAATTGATATTCAATTTTTGTTGGAATAGTAATTTTATAGCCATTGTACACCTATATTTTTTTTTACAAGAAATTGATAGTTTCGCCAGAAAATAATAAGCGTTTTCAGACTTCTGGACCACTCTGTAGGTTTGGTCAAATGGTTCCAAAATTATTACAAAAAAAAACAAATTTCCATACCCACGTTCCGAGGGCTGTAAAATTCTTATCACTAGAGATAGGACACGAGTTATTATTAACACCGTTTTATGTCATTTTTGAGGTTCAAATATTGTTTCATATTTATGAATAACCCTATATGTAACAAAAAATCAGTGTAATTTGAAATACATATCGCTGTATAAAAACAGTAAAAACAGGTGTAATTTCACGAAATTCACCGTCGAAAATGGGGAGGTTTGCTATTTTTCTGGGAAAAATGTTCATTTTTCCGCCGCTGTAACTCGTTACACATTAGACTTACAAAAAAATGTTTATACAGAAAATGTGAGGAATTTTGTCTTCTTTAACTTTTATCTGAACACTTTTGTCGTATAATCAACCGCTGCGGAGTTATTTTGGAAAAATCGATTTTTCGTACCTTTTATCCAAGATGGCGGCTCGAGCCGCTTAGATTTTTTGTCAAGGCTTAGATCTTAACAACATATTAAAAAATTACTACTACCCCACCTTTTGTAGGGTCTTTTTTGGCCCCTACTGACTGGACTAAAGTAGCATTACCTTAAAACTAAGCACTCTCAATTGTCCAGTCCGTTGACTATCGTAAACATTCAAAAGCCAATTCAGAGCTAAATCAACACACAGAGGGACATCAACTAACGATGGTTGCAGCGAGGCTGCAGTTGCATAAATCGCTCGTAATACCAAAATCATGTCGGCCACGTCCAATAATTTATCATTCTGGCCTCGCAAACCGTGCAAATCGAATGCTTCAGAAGCGGCATTAATGCTAACTAAATCTAGACACAATTTCTTCTGGATTGCGCGCAGTTTTAAAGCCGTTCGGTATGCGGAAAATCGCACTTCGTTGAGTTGTAAAAGAGAAGTGGCCAATTCGAGCATTTGAGGGTGGTCCCAATGGGTTGTCTCGGTGCTGTGGTTGATGTAGTATGGGACTTTGTTGGGCGTGGTGGAGCGCTCCCATGGTGGCTGCACGCTTGATGGGCCCGGGGATATCTCTCCTGAAAAAAAAAAAAAAACAAGTAATGCACATACTTTCACAAATTTCCGATCAAGTGTCCTATGATTTTGAAATTCAGTTGGTGACACAAACTGTCAAATTCACCGTCACCTGTCATCGCCAATAATTCGGTGTTGCCAATTTAGTTTCAAAGTCACAGGTCACTTTGATCGGAAAGCGTTGCACTAAACTTTTTGAATATAATTGATTGATTTAAATAAGTGTTTTATCAAAAAGCTCATTTATAATACTTTTTGAATGAACTTTTTGACAAAATTTTGTAATCGGTTCAAATTTTTATAGTGGATTTTGGCCAAGTATTACATTTAGATTTTTTAAATAATAATAAAGCCGTTTTCAATGACATTGTCATTTTTAATACGTTGGTGCAGATTATACAATATATTAAGCACAAATTCATAACCGTGTTCAGAGTATAAGCAACGCCTAGTTACAAAAATGTCAAACGAGATGGTGAAGTTATGGCGAAAGAAAATTAATTATATTTCGTGAAACGCCAACAAACAAAAACTCGATTTTCAACATAGTAAAAAACATAGTCTATAGCTTATTACAGCTTTATTTTCTGCGCGGCTTTTCCAAATCCATTTTTTTTTAATTTGTCAAAAATGATGGATAATTTTGAATTTTCCACGTCAAGATAAATTGCCAAATTAAGAAATTCAAAATTACTAAACACAAACAGCAAGTGATGCCAACACACTATCACTTTGACAACTCGTATGTCATTGAAAATGACAATACGTAAATGATATTACAGTTGAATTCAAAAAAAGTGGTCAATGTCATTTCAAAAATTAATAAATAATAAATAAACATTAAATGATTTACATTTTCACAACAAAATTGATTTGATGACAAATTACCAAGCTTCATGATGCGAAATAATGTATTTTTGTAAATTTAAGTACGTTCATTTACGCAGGAATAGTTAATTTTATTCCCAAATGTGACACTGACGACCACTTTTTTTTAATTTGACTGTATGTATTTATTAAAGCAAAAAAAAATAAACAAAAAAAGTATTTAATAAAATCAAAATTGATGAATAAAACAAATAAATAAATTAATTAAATAAATTAAATAATAATAAAAAAGCACAAATAACAATAAAATACCCTAAATAATAACATACTAGATGCGAAAAAGCTGAATGTAATTATCTATTTCATGTTTACCGGAAATACGAAAAGGTAGAAACATCATTATTTTTTTAATACTTATATAGGGGCGCCAGAACTCGCGTCCCAGATGTAAGTTAAGATACCAAGAACATGAAAAGAATGTTAAAAAATTCTATCTGTAAAAATTTCGAAGTTATGAAAGTTTAAATTTTGCATTGTATCCTAAATTTTAGCTCTCTTTAATGTTATTTTATGTTATTTTATTGGCACAATTTTTGTACTTTTACTGAATAATTATAAAAAACATATACAAGATTATCAGTATCATTAATAGACATAAAAAATGACAAATGTCAAAAATAAATGTCAAAATTTTTGACAGACATTTTTAAAGATTTTTTCCATGTTCCTGGTACCTTATCTTACTTGAAATTTTTCTCTGGGGTGCGAGTTTTGACACACCCTGTATTTATAGTGTCGAAATTTATCCACTAAAGGATTGTTTTAATAATAATTATTATCGTAATAGTTCAATACATACTTGGAAAATATCTTCTTTGAAACATATCACTATTTTTATTACACCGACACTTTTGTAATAAAATTTGACGTGTAGTTACGATCTCCGTGTAATTTGTTGTGTAAACAGATTAATTTAAAACGCCCACAAAATGATTTAACACCTTTACATCACACTTCATTGTTACTCATAATTTTTTTAATGTAACAAGTAAAAAGTTTCATGTAGTGTCACACGTTTCATTCATCAAGTGACAAAATGTGAAAGTTTGTGTAGGCTTTAGGACTTCTCAACTATAAACTAGACAAACATTTGAGGTCAACAACATTTTTAATTTACATACATGTGGGCCGATCACAACCCAAACCAATTGAACACTTTTTAATTAGAACAAACTATTTTTAATTTAAACTCACCCTGCGTTGTGCTAGTTAGCTGCTCCCGCCTCTCCCTAATCGCCGATTGGAGGGCTCTGCACCTCGCACTGCAATCCTCAAGCTGCGTTGCCAGATTATTGGGCAAAGCATTCCCCAAGGAGGCTGCTTGAATCCTCGCCTCCTCCAACGACCGCTGCAACTGCGGAAGTTGCGTCTCTAAATTCCTCAAGCTGGCCAAAAGTTCTCGAGCTTCAGCTGCACTCCGAGGACCACTCCAACTCAAGGTTGCTCTCTCCAGTCGCGAAACAGCCGCTGATGCCTCTTCCAAATTCAAAGTCAACTGTTTCAATTTCTAAAAACCGGAATTTTAACATTGTTTTTAACATTGAAAAAAGTAACCTTGTAAAAAGTACAAATATCTCATTATTTGAAAATAATTGGTAAAAATAATTTTCGCAACGTTTCTCTGTAATACATCAAACATGCATATTACAGGGTAAATCAACTTTTATTCTTAGCCCCAAAAAATCCCTTTCGAATTGTAAAAATTGTGATTTTTTCGTTAAATAAAATTTTTTTTTGAAAAAATGATTTCATAGTGGGTTGCCATTTTTTTGTAGAACTCAAAAATAAAAGGAAATTTCCAAAAATTTTATTCTTGTTAAATCATCACATTTTTATAGTACTTTAGCACTCATCAATTAGTTTTTTCAAAAAATAAATAGTTTAAGCAAGGAAGGATTTGATTCACCCTGTATTATAAACTTAAGGAGTCCCTGACATTTTATTTTTTCTTTCAAATGAAACAACAAAAAAGACTTATTTTCTTTTGTTGACATTGTTTCACACTTAACAATTTAAATTTTGCTTGATAGTTTTGAATATCTTTCTTTACCACTTGCCATAATTGTTTTGCTTCGATAGTTTTTAAGTCTTCCTATTTATAATCCCCAAAATAAATAAGTTGTCTGATATGTTTTCTATAAAGACAATTCATTTACTTGCAAGAAATACTATTTCCGATAATGCTACCGAGTACCTAAGTTTCACCTCTTTCTTTGCTGCATCAGGTACAACATTTTGTTGTAAAGCAATTAGTTCACCTGTTGCAGTACTAAAAGGACTAAAATTTTAAATACTAAAATACTTTTGTTAAATTTAAGAAATTAAAAAAAAAACTTTCTGTAAATGAAGATAATATAAAATAATAAAATTTAGTATCCAACAGACTAAACCAAAGGACGACGTACGTATGTATAAACATCCAATTTCTATTTTTTTTTGTGTTCTTCAACTGCTACATTATGTTTTCGTGTCTTTCGTTTTTTAGTAGTCGTTTTTTTTTTAAAAAATAGGGTGAAAAATCAAAAACTGAGGGTACAACATCATATTTTAGGCAATTTCTACTAAATTGCAAAAGTCAATCTCTTGTAAGTGCTTGCCACAAATTCACATGCTACTTTAACCGAATGCAAAACGCAAAAACATAGGTAATTAGGTACGCTAATATTTACGAATTAAAAGAAACACTTCCTTTCGTTGCTCTTTGCGAACAACCATAGGCACGGTTTTACCATTCTAATAGTTTTTAATCATAATTTAGAAAATATCTATATATAAAATGTTTTAATCAAAGTTTTTATGAAAGAATTCTTTCAGTTTTTAACACAAATAACGACGAAAGCCACTACTATACACTACAACACATACAGGGACATTTTTTTATTAGTATACATAGCCCTATGTATACTTTAAAAAAAACCGGGTCAACTTCAATGTAACTATGACTATTACGATTTTGTTAGTCTAGGCATAGGCAACCAATATTACAACGGCTTTAATATCGATAAATAAAATACAAACTTGTAAAAACAACAAAGTAAATGTAATTAAATATTAATTAAAAAAATAGAACCAATCAAAACATAAAAAATATTTAATAATTAGTGCAAGTGTTCAAAATGCTTTCCTTGCAGTTCCAAACAATAACCCAAGCGATTTTGGAAACCCCGCCACTGCATTCTTGATAAATTCAGGATCTATATTATTACATTCTGTACGAATACGTTGTTTTAGCTCTTCTAAATTTTGCATTAGAACATTAGTATAAATTTTTATTTTTAAATACCCCTAAAGAAAAAAATCGTTAGGTGCCAAGTCTGGCGATCGTGGGGGCTATATGGGTATCATAAATGGTATTAACTTTTTAAAGCTACGCTTTAAGTTTCAATACTGACACTTGACAAACTTGACACAAAATTTTAGTTTTGAATATTTTAATATCTAGTACCCTCTAAAAGCTTGAAATGTTGGTTGCCTACCCTATGAAATTGACTCGTTTTTTCTAAAAGTATACATAGGGCTATGTCAATGCTTTGTTACCCCCAAAATCAAATACTTACAATAGTGTTCTGTTCAAATCTCGCCGCTAACTGGTCCGATTTATCAATCAAAGCGTTCCATTTATCGGACAGTTTGACCAACTCCCTTCGCAAATTTCGAGCTAACTCCCCAGAAGGGTCCCCCGCTACGAATTGTCGCGCACTCCTCAAACTCGCCTCAACTAGGGGCCTCTTGTCTTCTAACTGTTGGCGGAAAGCGCGGTGGTCGTCTTGTCGGGCCGCTAGCCCCAATTCTGTGTCTTTTCGGATCACCCATTCGGTCAGTTCCCTTAAAGACAGTAACAAAGCGTTCCAATAGTCAGCATTGTGTTCCAGTCGGTTTCTCAAGTCTGAAGTGCGGGTTTTCAACGCTTGCCATCGGCGCTCCATCTCGTCGCCCTTCAATTGGAGCATTAGAGCGTCTTCGGGGGCCATGGTCCCCAGCAGGGCCAAATTCGACGACCGGAGAGCGGCATGGGCAGGGGCTTGTCTCTCGATATCAGCTTGCAGTTCTTTCAACTGGTGGGCGGCCCTGCGAGACTCCGCATCGCCCTCGAGAGTCTCAACCACCGACTCGGCTTCACTCAGCCACGCTAGAAATTTATCGAGAGAGCGGTCCAAGTTTTGCAGAGAGCTCAAAGCTGAGTGTAGGAGTTTTCCCCTGTTGATAACGCAAGCATCCAGACGAATGTAGTGTTGGTTTATGTACTCGGCTGTCTGAAATCGAGTTCATAGAGTTGGGGTTGGGTATTGGGAGTGAGTATTTTTTACCTTTTTGTAGCGACTGGTGTCTTCGTGTTGGTGCGCTGTGATCAGTCTTTGCGTGAGTTGATTGAAAGCTTCGATCTGTGCTTTGAACTGGTGGAGTTCGGCGTGAAGTCCTTTTTGTTCCCTGAGCTGGACTTCGAGGACGTCGGCGGTGTGTCCCACGGCCGCCATGGAGGCCAGTCGGGCTTCCATCCTCTGCAGCCATGCCTCAAGTTCCAATCTTTTGTGCTCGAAACTCTCTTCTTTCTTCTGCATCTTGGGCGGATGTCACAATATTGGGGCAAATTGACTTGAAGAGGCCATTTCTTGGACTTTTCATACAGATCAATGTTTACAACGGCGAGGGTTGATGACCGCGCACCTGTTTCCCTGTCATAACACTCCCTGACACGCTTCTAAGAAATAATCAATACGTTACTGCCACCAGCAGTTTCAGGAGGATTTTTTTTCATTCATTAATTCATTTAAGGCGAAAATGTCACTTTGACAATTTGTGTGCAGCGTTGCAACATTTTTGACCGGTATTTAGGGCCCTAATCAAAATGCGAGCAAATACTGTCCAAAAAAACATTATTGCGAGTTTTCCCTCCAAAAAACAAATTGACTGATGTAATTTGATACTCATTGCAATAAAAAAAGGTCAATAACATTAAAAAAGGGGCGTAAAGAAGCTCAAGTTTTTTATCAAATTAATTTTCAACCGTGTGACTTTGAGGTAAAAATAGATTAAAAAACTCTTTGTGACTATTTTAAAAACATAAAAGTGGACCTGAAATAAATAAAAATGATAAATTGAAAATGTGGTTGCACACTTGGCAACTCTGCACCACCCCTGACATCTGATTGTGACACTAGTGACAGTTCAAGTGTTTGGAGGTTAAGTTCAAATTATAGTTCTGATTTTTGAGTACTGACGTGTAAAGTGAATGTTTTATAACAATGGATTAACAATTATTTTTGCGTTGTCTACAATTTAAAGTTATATCAATTGCTACTTTCAAGCCGTGTGACTAATCTGGAAGTAGCGATGATCTTTAGATAAGTTTTCTTCTGAAGATGGATAAAGCTCAAATTGCGTTAAACTCGAATGATGTGAAACAGGAGAACAATGTAGTTGTAAAAAAGGAAAAGTTGCCTGATGTGGACACCCACAAAGCTGGACTTGCAAATTTCAGAGCGATACTTTTCCTGCTTTTGTGGTACTTTTTCAGTGGTTGTACTTTATTTTTAAACAAGTATATTTTGACGTACTTGAATGGAAACCCCACAGTTTTAGGTAAAATGTATACTCGAGAGTTCAGTTGTTAATTATTGTTATTAGGTGCTTGTCAAATGTTGATGACGGCCACTTGTGGATTTGTTCAATTATACTTCCCTTGTGGGATGTATAAACCTTCCCAAAGGTTAAGTAAACCACCTGGATTTTACAGACATATGGTTTTAGTGGGGTGCACAAGGTTGGTCTTTCTTTCTAATTATAACTAAATAATTTTTTTACATTTTTAGGTTTCTCACTGTAGTTTTGGGTCTGGTGGCTCTCAACTACGTTGCAGTGAGTTTTACAGAAACGATCAAAAGTTCGGCACCTTTATTTACAGTATTGATATCTAGGTTTTTGCTAGGTATGTTCAGGACATGATTATTTTTTTCTATAACCTTGTTTTAGGAGAACAAACAGGACTTTATGTGAATTTGAGTTTATTACCTGTGATGTCTGGATTAGCCTTATGTTCAATTAATGAAATTAGTTTTGAAATTCGTGGTTTTATGGCCGCAATGGCAACAAATTTGACTGAATGTATACAAAATGTGTACTCAAAGATGTTAATATCAGGAGATAAGTTCAAATACACGTAAGAAAATACATTCATTGTGAAATAAATCAATGTTTAATCGCATTTTAGACCTGCAGAGCTTCAATTTTACACCAGCATTGCAAGTGTAGTTATCCAAATTCCTGCCACATTGTTTTTAGTAGATTTCACCCACAACAAGTCAATTGATTTGAACATGGTTTTTTATTTCATGTTGAATGGAGTTTTTTTCCACTTTCAAAGCATAACAGCGTACGTTTTAATGGACTACATTAGTCCAGTGACCCACAGGTAATTTCCAATTTCTTGCGTATTATAAATCTTAATCAAATTTTTCTAGTGTTGCAAATACAGCAAAAAGAGCTCTTTTAATCTGGTTATCTGTAATCATGTTTGGAAATCAAGTTACAGTATTGAGTGCTGTTGGAACTATAACTGTGATAGCGGGAGTATTTATGTACATTAAAGCACAGGAATATGATGATAGGTTGAGTTCTGTTAATTTAATTCAGAGGAAGGTTCGTGCAATTTAGGAAATTTGGAAAAAGAGTCAATTTTGAACAATCTTCCATCAAATTTCTTTGTTGTTATGAGAGACAGGGTCCAAATTGTGTTTCAAAATATTTGATAGCTCAAATTCCCTAACTTGATCCGTTTTGACCTATTATTATTTATTTTATTTATTTAGTAAAGTGAGGTTTTTATGGTTGTGTCAATTTGAAATGTAAGAGTACTTTGTAACATTCCAGTTATGTAAGTCGTGAAAATGTACATATTGTAACTACATTTTTATACTGTAAATTGTTTAGAGTACTGATTATTAAATTGTTGATTTATATTTGACTTTATTGTGTATTTTATTTACTCCGTTGAGCATATGTGAGCAGTAAAAAAAGTAAAACTGATGTTCAAGGTCGTTGAAGTAAAAACATGAGACGACAAAGATTGCAATACTGTTGTAACTTTAATTTTTCATATGTATTATGCACTTATGCTACAAAACATTTTGAATGCTCCCGGTAAAACTTAAGTCAAGTTCTATTTGATTTACCTAGATGGCGCTGCTTCAAATTTAATTTAATTTTTAAATTTGAAAGTTTAATATTAAAAGAAAATTCTTTAAGCACACTTACATGTGTAAAAATGGATTTAAATTTAATTATTTGCAAAATTTAATTAAATGTAACGAGATGTGATTTTCATCAAGTGGCTTATTGTCAACTTAAGTATTTTTTTGTTTGGTTGTGTTTCAGTAACAAAAGGGCGTCTGTTTTTTGACAAATTTTTATTAATAATAGTGTTAAAAATGTCGTTTTCAAGCCAAACGGAGGTTTGGCAGTCTTTTGATTTAACGCAGAAGACGCTTCAACAGTTTGCGGATAACTTAAATGTTTTGAAGAAGATTCTCAGTAACAAGGAAAAATGTGAAATATTTTTTAATCGTTTTCCTTTTGAAAAGCTATTGAGTATTACAATCATGGATGAAAATAGCTTAATGTGGGTATAATTAACTTTTTTATTGTAAATTTATTATAGTTAATCGTAGGTTGTGTATTAAAATTGTTGATTTGTTCAGCGAATATGACGATTTTTATTACTACGACGATGGATTTAAATACACCTTGGAATTTATTTTGATCAATTTGTCCCAAATTGGAGAGGATCGCACAGAAGTCGTTGACCTTTTTCACCTTTTATCGAAAATTTTGCAAAAGTGAGTGGGCTGTGAATTATTGTTGCTTGGCAATTTGAATTATTGCCGGTGGCGCCATCACAAAAAAAGATTCAGAAAGGCGGCAACTTGATTTTTTTTTTATCCATTCATTTCTAGCACTATAAAATCAATAGATGACACTTTTCAAAATCTTTTTGATAGAGAGAGGATATTGGAAATAATGTTAAAAATGGGAGACTTTGAAACATTGCGGAAATGTGATTTCATGCCATATGCTTTAATTTTAAGAAAATTATTAGATTCGGATTTTCCGGATACGTTGAATGGTCTTGTTTCTGATTTATTTGAAAAACTTAAACAACATGGAGCCGTTTTACAGTTAACGGTTATTACTAAATATACGCTTCAGAGGTTGGTATTTAATTATTTTAAATTTCTGAATGAAATGTGAAAAAATCGTAGAAAAACAAATTTTTTTTGCGATGCATTTCAAAATGTGTGGCAGTGGTTAAAAGAAGAAGCTCCTGTTTTATTAGTAAAGGTAAGTAAGTGTCAACTTTGTAGTGAATTTGAAAAATATAACAGAAAATTTTATTTAGTGTATAAATGTTGACATAAGAGAAAACATATTACAAATTTTGAATACTGTTTTCGAAAATTGTTTCAAACACAATATTTTGACTTTGCACTTTTGTCACAAAAGCTTGAGAAGAATTGTAAGTGACATTTGCTTGCTTACATCTAATATCCGATTAAGAAATGATTCCTTTAAATTATTGGAATTTATCCTATTGGAATTTTTTGATGAAAATAAGATTCTGAATTTGACACCAAATGAAATGTTTAGCCAACTTATCACTCTTCCTGAAGAAGTCAATGACTGGGCCAAGTCTAATAATGACATTTTTTTCTGTATTTGTCACCTGTGTTTTTGCTGCAGCAGGTATGTATAGTTTGTACTAAACTAAAATTCATTGTATTATTCTAGAATGTTGTGGAAAGTATCACACGTTTTGGATGGTATAAGAAATCGTTTTTATAGTGGACGCAACAATGTTAAACCATATGTAATAAAATCGATATATTATCTGTTTCCAAAGCTCACATATCACGACAAAAATGTCGATTTGTGCACAAACATGTTAGGCGATGATCTTCTCAAAGATTTCACACAATTGAGTTCATGTTCGTATTTGTATTCAAACAGTAAGTGGCAGTTGTTATGGATACTTGAGAAAGCCCCCAAATGCATGAAACTGATGGTTCTGGGTCACTGGTTAACTACAATTGAAGACAATCAAATTTCCGAAGAGATACTTCTAAATACCATCAAAACCACTAAAACTGAATCACTTCTCCTCGAATTTATCTTGCACAAGAATTTTAGAAAGCAATTTGGTTCAAGGTGTGCTTACTTTATTTTTCTAGTAAAAAAAATAACAGTTTTTTTAGATCAGCTTCACTTTTGCGTAAACTTGAAAATAATGAAGTTCGACGAAATGTAGCACTGATTCTTCCGTTCACTGTAGATAAACCCACGATTTTCTCTAATTTGATTCTTGCTGAACCCGGAGTACCTTTGAACTCCACTGACTCTACTTTGCTTTGTGCTATTATGGGGGCTGTAATGCCGACTCTTAATGATTCTCAAGTGCTGAAAGGGGCTTGTGTGTTTAGTAGCAAGCTTTTGGCAAGTGGTAAAGACAAGCCAGATTCGGTTCAAGCTTTTTGTAAAAATGCAACAAATATTCGGCATCTTGTTAATATAACAGATAAAGTTGATGAGGAAACATCCATCGAAATTATAAGACTGCTGAAAGTTATAATTCTGGTCCAAGTATGCTTTTGCTACGGTGGTTAAATATCTATATGACGTTTTGCGTTTTCAGCAAAAAAATAGAGTCAAATTCGAGAACAAGTTGACCGAGGATTTTAAAATATTTATGAAAGGTTCTTCAGAAAAAGTTGAAAAAGGTTTAAGGCTTCTTCGTCACTCGTTGACGTATAAACACTCTTTGATAGAGCAAGATGTCCAAAGTATTCTAGGACTCTATCACATCATACTAAATAACGGATTCATCTCTGAATTTCAACCCATGGTTTATGAGTGTTTGGCACTATTATATAAACGAAAAAGTATGTTAGCCCAAACAATTAGTAGTGCAATTTTTATAGAAATGTCATGTTTGTCCCCAAATAAACATAATAGAGATTTATTGCGGTTATTAGAGGTCTGGTTGGATGTTATTAGAGCTGAGCGAAGTGAGTGTTTTTGTACTATACCAGAAATCGCCATTAAAAATTTCATAATGAGGGCGTCTCTTGATCAAGATGTTGTAAGTACTTAGTTATTTTTAAGATTTTTGTTTAACTGTAATTTTCAGGCTAAGAAGTATTTACTAATCCTGGAATTCTTAATGAAAAGAGCACACCAAACTAAGACCAATAACATATTTTATTAATAAGAGACATAGCTTTTATAATTTTTAACCTATCTGTTTAAGTTTTTGCGTTAATTCCTGTTTATCTGTTTTTTGTGAATTTAGAAATTAAATCTTGTTTTTGGTTTAGTTGGGTACTTTTTCAGGATATCCTGTGTGGTACCTACCGATCATTGTTTTTCTTCTACCAGTCATTAGGTGGCGCAACTCGTGTAATCATGAAATTGTCAGAATGAAGAATATTTTTTTAAACAAATAACAATTAGCTACGTTGTTAAACGTCTGAAATATATACTATGGTACTTGGTTGTGTGTTTTTAAGGCTTAAATTTTATTGGCACAATTTAGGACAAGACACATCTTTAGAAAAAATTACAAAATATCACGATTTCATTGTAAAAAAAGATCACGTTTTGAAATTGAATTGTTTAATAGTGAAACAAAAATATAAAGTGTAGTTCTTTGAAGCTTGAATATCAAAGATGACAGCGAATGTCAAGACATGACCTCCACTCCTACAACAGCTCAAAGAAGTTGTTTCTTAAAAAAAGTCCTGTGTAGATAATTCACTTCTGCTAGTTGTTTGTACGAGTGTAGGAATTCACGAAAGTGAAGGGAATCATGTATGCAAATGATAGAAAGTAAAGATCTTAGCTTCATTGGTTATATTTTTAGGGACGTTTTGACACCTCAGGTAAGAAGCTCATAAGACAAATCAATAAAAGGCGAAGCTCTGATCGATTCCGCCTATATACAGTTTCTTTTATTTGAAAGTGTTTGATCATTTTAATTGCAAAATTGGATCATTTCAATGAATAATCGAAACAATCGACCAAATCAAGGTTTTTCTTAGAAATTTGCTTTATTTTACGTAGTTTGAATTTAAAGAGAATAAACCAAGGTTGTTAAAAGTTTAAACACACCTTCGCCCTTTTGTCAGGTAAGGTCATAATTTCATTCACTAATCAGTATTGTACTAAATGTTATTGTTTCCCATCGAATAAAGATTTAACTAGCCATTAATCAAACTAAGATAAATCAAATACCAAGAAAGAAGATATTTTTGTTTCGACCAACCAGTCTCTATAATTATTGAAGAATACCTTGAAAGTTTAGTGCCTTATTTATTTTTAGCGACGTTTAGTTTTTATTTGAGTGGAATGTACACAAAGAAGAAATACCCACTGGGAATAAAATACCATAAATTTTATTTGAATTTAATAACCAATTCGGGTTATTAGCCACAAAGTTTTACAAAACAAATTAATTAACGTCTTTGTTTGTTGTCATATTTATTAAAGAGATACTAAACGAGAAGGGTTTCCTGCAGAAATTCTACATAAAAACAGAATTTATAACCAAGTCCAGCAAAAATATTTATAATAAATTATACATATTAATTCTTGAAGCAACGATATGAACTTGCTGTAGTTGTATTTCTCTATTATTTAACGTATACGAAATAAGACCGTGTTTATTATTAAAATCAAATTTGTAAATAATAAGAAACCATGAAATGTGCTACAAAGGAAGTTTTTATTGAAACAGTTGCAGGCACAGAAAGTACTTAATCGTTTCCTTCAATGCTGAATTTATTAATTAGGTTTTGCAACTGAATTACGCACAGCAAGGATAACATGATTTTTAATATCTTATCGGATTCATTATGTATAATTTATACCTAGTTCCTTTATTTATACCAACTTCCTAAACAATATAAAATTGATCAAAAATGACAAATGGTTTTCTGTTTCGAAATTACATCAGAGATGTCTGTTTTATTTTTGTCTATTATAGTATGCTGTCTTCTTATCTGTATAACATCTCAAAGAATAAGATTTTGCTTTATTATAAATATTACAAAACAGCAGGTTAATCATTTAATTTACATCTTCAGAGAGAAAGTGAAGGAAATTCAAAATTACATTTAAAAGGTTACAAGTACAAAGTGTCTTTTAAGCTATTACCTTGAGTAGGTGAAATTTTACCTACATTTTTTACAATAAAAAAACTAATATCATAAAACTAGGCATTAGTGTAATATAATAATAATAACTATTGAAATAAATTAAATTTTAATATTAGTAATTAATTAATAGTTAAGCATAGTTTTTATAATGCAGAACGATGAGTCGGGGAGCACATTTTTGTGTTTTCTGGTTTGGTCTCGCCACCAAGGATATCGTGTTTACTTTCTTTAATTTGTTCGTCTTAAAGTTGTTTATTTAATGCATATCTTTTCTCATTGACAGAACAATACTTCAGTAAGATCTACAACACAAAGATGACCGAAGAATTTTTATGAATTCAGCATTGTTATATTTAAGGAAACAACTTTTTTAATGCACTTCAGTATTGAGCTTATTTGCAATTACAATGACATAACTGGGCGTGCCACCATTCCATTCCAACTCACGTTGATGTAATTTTAAACTAACTACACTGTATAAAAACAATTATTTTAAGTTTTGTGGACATTTGTGATTAAATCGTGAAGACCTTTTGTTTAATTACATTTTAATTACCCTTGCAAAATGACGAAATTGTGAAATATTTATCACACATCTTTTTTATTCTAAACTTATCTCATGTATCAAGTTTCTCTAATCGTCTTTAATTATGAGTTAATTATTTATGCAATATTGCGGTAATTGCTTCCACTTGTCTTTGCAACATGCGCTCATTGAACTTGCGAGGATATTTTATTATTATTAGGGATTAAAAATTTGTGCAATATTTGATTTAAAGTCTTTGTAACTATTTCATTAAATAAGAAGATTGAGATCCATCTAGATTTCATTTTCTTTATCTACTAGCAAGTTTAATAGTCAAATATCTGTGTTTCATATTCAAGTGTTTTAATAAAACTGGTTTTATACATCTTATCATTAAATTAATAAAAACTGCTAAAGCTATTTTGAATTACAAATTTACGACAGATATTTTGTATTGAAATTAAAAATTGCTTTTGCTTACCTTGCATCAAAACGTTTGATTTTTTTTATAATATTGATTTATAGAACTTTAAATTCTGCTAATATCATAAAATGTTCCTCTATAAATCAAAAAATGGCATTTGGAAACTTTAATAAATAATGAAGTTACTTTTACAAAATGACGCTATAATAATGCGTAGACGGAAAGTAAGGACATTACACACTTCCTTGAATTTTTACGCATTCGTTTGTGGTTGCCAAAAAAGTGAAAATGAGATCAATGTTTTAATAGATTCAGGATTAGGTTGACAAAACACTGAATTTAGTTTTTGTAATTTATGGAATATAAATTTTGTTAGGAGAGAATTGCAGTTTCTGTAAATTGTATGCAGGTGACATCATAACTTTCTTTACGTGATCTAAGAAATTACATTAATAATACTTTTTTTTATCAATATCTACGCTTAATAAACCTATTTCACTGAATAAATTATTGGAGTGCCAACGGCAAGAAGATAAGTTCAAGATATGATGACTGATGACTAAGAGAAAGTAAAATGCAGCATTATCAATTGGCATTTGTCTATAAAGGTGTAATATTTTGTCATTATTATTGTTACAAAAGAACAAGTGTTGATTTTATGAGTTGATCAGAACAGAAACAATTTAAAACCAATAATTTCCGTAATTTCCGCTGTTGGTGTTCATGTCTCCATGCATAATAAGCTTCCTTATCCTGCAATATAGACGAAGTTTAATTAAAATTCTTCTTCGTCTTGAATTTAACGTGACTGGAATTATTTATTTAATGATTCAACACAGAAAAGCGCGCCTACATAGTGTTTTTTGTTTATTTTGGAAGAGAAAACAATTGATTAATGTGATGCTTTTGTATATGGTTGGTACCAATTGTTTCAACGAGGAAGTATGTCTGAAACACGTACATAATGGCCAGAAATGTGTCAAACCCAAGTACTGTTATTTACAATTTGTTATAATTTCCTAAAGTGTTTAATTACTGGGTTTAAACGTGACTTGAGCAAGTATTTGCATGAATTGGTGTTTTCACTTTCTTTATCGTTGGTTCATCGATGGCTACGAGACTTGTTAAAATTAAAAACTGACATTACTAAGAAAAATCATCATTTGACATTTTAATATTGGTTGCAAATTCGTTATGAAATATCAAGGTTATTATCCGCTATGAGAACTAGTAGTATTTGAATTACTAAGTACAGCCACAAATGATTACGTTTCAGGGAATTTTCCCTCTCGAAACATCGAAAATTTTATTGCGTCTCTGGCACTTTCTAGTTTAGATTAGATACTAGACAATCAAAATCGCAAATTGTTCTTTTCTGTTTTTCGTCGATTATAAATTTTCATTTTAGTTTGCACTTTCTCCAATAAAAACGGTTTACATTTTCAATAATATTTGCCACATACTAATTAACGGCGTAAAAAATAAATTGATTAGAAATTATTTGAGCAAATAATTAACACGAAAGCTAAACTGTAATGCTGTGACAAAATTTCCTACTTTTCAGGAGTGGTTCGGCGCTTCATTGCTCGTTGAAATCTCCGCGAAAAGTCCGGTTTTTTCAGCATGACATCCAGGGACATCTTTGCACCTATTTCAGGTTAAAGAGAGCGCTTATAAAAGGCAGTTTAACAGTAGCTTGCTGGTTACTCGGGGCCTCAATAGCGAAAGTTGCCCCGACGGAGTTGTGTGGTGTTGTTGGGCATGTGGCGTTGTGTGTAACGAGTGAGATTCCGGGCTTTGTAGTGACATAGTGTGCCTAGTGCAGCTAAATCCACGCGGCAATATTGCCGCCCTCAATTTTTTTTAGACTTATTTTTTTAACGTAGTTTAGTGCGGACTGAAAATGGCGAAAGGCACTTTTCTCATGTAAGTTCTCAGTTTTTAAACATAAGGTCCTAAAGTTTGAACATTTCTCCACATTCAGATCAATAAAGAAAGTCGAAACTTTGGTGCCGATTTCACGTAACGAGTGGCAATATGCCAATATGTTTAAACACGTAATCAGAATTAAGTCAAGTTAATTAGTTTTGTTGTTTCAAATAGAAATCAATTGTTTTGAACAAAAAAATTGTGGTAGTGAGAGGAAAAGTTACAAATATGCCTAAAAATAGAAGGATTAAAAAATTCGTTTAAGTGGGTTAAATTTTTTTAGTTTTTAAGTGTTGCAACATGTCTAAAGCCTGTTGGGTTACATTTAAGCATTTACCTAACATTATAGAATGTTAAATTATTAAAATCTTGTAAATCTCATCTCGTAATAAAAAATAAATAATATTTGTTGTTTTAAGAATAAAAATGAAAAAGATGATTTTAACAAGTGAGTGTTTTCCTGTTTCTTCAATTCCAATTTTTTATATTTTATTATTTGTTTGTTCGTCCCACTTTATACCTACACAAGAAACATAGTTCAAAGACTTTTCTGCAAATTCATATTAACGAAGTTCAAAAAACTTTATTAACTTAAAAAAATCGTTGGTAATTTTGAATTCACTTAATTTTATTGTTGCTCATTCAAAATGGTGGTTTGTACGAAACACATATTTCGAAAAAAGAAAGTAGTTTTGTTTAAATATCAATTTAATTTGTTAAGCAGGGCATCTGTCATTTATAAACATTTATGCTTTAGATTTTTACCAGTAATACTAATTAAGTACGATTAAGTAATGGTCAACTTTACATTATGTCGTTAACAATGTTGTTTAACATTATGTAAAATTGTATTGATTCTGAAGTTTATAACACAATTTTGTGTGGCAGTAATATGATTATTTTCTGTTGAAAATAAAACAAAAAGTTTCAGTCTAGCAGTAGTGAAAGAAAGGTAGTGAAGAATTGTTTGCTTTCTTTTTGAAACATCAAAAAACACTTTGAAATGACTAGTCAAGTCATGATGTCTTCATGTAAAACAAGAAGCTTTTTTCATTAAAGGCATGAAAAATCAACCATTTTCTGTTGAAAATAAAACAAAAAGATTCAGTCTAGCAGTATAGTGATAGAAAGGTAGTGAAGAATTGTTTGCTTTCTTTTTAAAACATCAAAAAACACTTTGAATTGACTAGTCAAGTCATGATGTCTTCATGTAAAACAAGAAGCTTTTTTGCATTAAAGGCATGAAAATCAACCTTTTTAAGTCGGTATTTATGTAACATTACAATGTTCACGGCATCTTCATTAAAATTTATGATCTTAGATGCCCCGTTAGCTAAAATATGCAGTTTGAACTTTACTTCACTCAAGGTTTTTACTTTTACCGCTTCGACAGAATTAATAAACAGTGTTAGACATCTCTCAAGAGGGAAAGTGGTCGACTGCGGTTATCTTTTTGTAGCTTGAGACCGCATTATTACATTGTAATATTGGTTCTTTTGCAACTTGTTGAAAAATATTGCAATCATAACACGAATATTATGGGAACAAAAATTTAACACCATTGCGAACCTCAGTTCAGAATTCATTTGAATGATATCAGTTCTATTTAAAGAAAAATGTTGGAATTTTGATATCTTCTTCGGCACGATTTCGATCAGTTTCCCACTTAAAACGGAAAAGTATAATTACTCCACTTACACACTTGATGAAGAGAAACTAATAAATAGGACTCATCTTCACAAAGTGCATTTCTTGTATTGTTATTAAAATCAATAATTAGAACACATGCAGAAAATCGCGTTACACTTGCAAGTAAATTCTCACGGAAATGTTAACAATTAGACTATAAAAATGCTCATAAACAATATAATTGTTTTCAGTAATTACTGCAACACATTTCGTGATGTTTAATTCAGTAAATGGACAAATGTATGAAACATCTCGAAAATATTTTTGGGGCTGAAACTTTCTTTCTGTCCGGAAGGTCGTGATCTGGCCTTGATCAACAAATTTCTCCATCTTTCACTCTCTTTTACCCAACCCAATGGGGATTGTATGTCAATGGCACCGACGCCACTGCCCATTGACAATGAAAGTGATTGGAACATATTTTGATAAGATAAATACATTTTTAAGAAGTCTAAAATTTTCAACAAGTAGACTTTCTTTACGTGACATTAAAGAAGTTAAGTAATTGCCTGAATAGCAAATGTTTAGCATATTAAAAAATCAATTGTGTGACATCTAAATATACTTATGATTAGAAAGCTATCTCGTAATGCATGCAGACGACTGAATAAAAATGTCTCTGATTTGTCTCTTCATTACATAACATTGCTTCTTCTTTAACTTGTTTTTTACGAAACCTGGTCTCTGCAGCCTAATACTTTTATTACAGAAGCAAGCAAATCTGAATTTATAAAATTTACCTAAATAGATAAAATACTATTACCAAGTCAAAATGACTGGATTTTTTAACATCAGTAATAGATATAAATTCTTTCACAATGCAATGAAAATGAAAACAATGTAACAGAGTTTGCAAAATGACCTAAATTTCTCCAAATTGCTGTTGGCACTAGGAGCAGTACCTACAAAAAACGGTGTTGCGATATAACATTAGTTACTTTGCACAAATACAGGCGGTCCGGAAAGTCACGCACCTCCTTGAAAGGGAGTAATTGTGTAGTCTTCCAGAATACTAAAAAATGTTTTAAAAGTTCTATGTGTCAAAAAATTTTGACATTTGACATTTTTTAATAATTATTTAATAATACTGATGATTTTGTATATGTTTTTTTGTAATTATTTAGTAAAAAATTTTGTCAATAAAAGCTACAAGTAACATTAAACAGAGTTACAATTTGAGATATAGCATCTTTGTTTCCTCTTCTAATAGCCTGTAGCAAAAAAACTGGAAAATCATTTTTTCAACAGAAATAAATAGAACCAAATGCAAAATTTAAACTCTTATAACTTCGAAATTTTATAGATAGATTTTTTTAACAGGACAGCCTTTATATACAAGTACTAATTTTAGAATTTTCAAGATATTTGGAACTTCTAAATTAACATGAATTCTAAATTTTTTTATGATGTTTAAAAATACAAGCACTTTTGTATGTTTTATTATTTTTAAGTCATTTTTCGTACTAAAACCTTTGGATATAATCTTTGAAAATGTCTTGATAGAAAAATAAATTTTTGTGTGTTGTATAATAAAATTCGAACAGATAATACGTATTAAAATTCTTTCCAAGAAACTTGTTCACATTAATAATGCCACCCGTAATTTTGTTCATTATGAGTCACAATACAAATATTTATAGTTTAACAGAAAAATCATTTTATTTTAATCAAAATGCCATGTATCTGTCAATTTGAATGTAAGAATAACAAGAATCATTTGCATTTAAAGCCAATTAAATAAATGTGAACATAAACCAGTGTTTCATAATTTTAAATTTTACGTAAAGATTTTCCATTAATTTTAGTTACACAAAACCAAAATTACACTAAAATGTTTTTATGAAAATATTTGGCAAAATTCAACCACGCATGGGAATACCTATGGTAATTTTGTAACGGCTAGTAAATAAAGGAATGTCAATGATACTCATCCTTTTATAATAATTTTATACATTCTTTAAGCCCGTCTAATTTAAAAATTAAATTTGAATAAACAATGAATAAAAGCATATTAAAAGCATACATTTTTAATAAATATATAATGCTTTTGAATATTCCGGTTAAAATGAACAGAGTTTTAAATAACAATTTCAATTTCAGATTTGTATGCGTAACGACCGTAGCAACTTTCGCTTTCCCCCATCCTGGAGAAGACATAATCACACAACCTAAACCTGGGGAAGAGTACGTTTTTGTCCAAACTACGGGTTCAGGTGCCCGTCCCATAGCAAGAAAAGACAAGCAAACAAGCAAAGAACGTCCTTTCGAAACCGCCCACAAACTTCCCCCGTCTCTCACATACATCTTGAACCAAAACGACGACGATGTTAAAATTCAAACTAAGAGCAAACGAGAAGCTAACCCGGCCGAATCTCCAGCACCTGCCCCCGCCGGTGCCATCAAACTTGACGTACAAAAACTTTTAGAAAAATACAAAACTGAACTCAAGACAAGCACAACTGAAGCTCCGAGAACCACGACGAAAACCACGAGGAGGAGAGGTAACAAACGGACGAAAAAGGAGATTAAGGAGGAAGTTGAAGTTACTAGTCCTAGTCCTGTTTTGACAACTGGAGTCAGTGCTCCGAAGAAGGTTGATGATGATATTCCGCTTGTTGCAAGTGGGAGTGAGAAACAGCGATCTCGGATTCAAATTAAAAAAGCACCCAATGGGCAAGAGTACGAGTACGAGTACGTTTATTACTATTATGACGACGATGAGGATCCGAAAGTGACCAATGCCCATGATGGGCCTGCTAAAACGTCAAATAAGAGTCGGGGGACTGTGGAACGAACTAGTGCTGCTCCTGAAGCCAACGAAGTTGTTCCTTCGTCACGAGGCAAGACTAGGGGACGCCAACTAGGTGAAGAAGAGGTTAGTGAAGAAAGACTTCCGGCCAATACTAGATTTCCGCCAAGGAGTCGCAATTTGAACACTACGCCTTTACCGGAAGAGGAAACTAAAGCGACAAGAGGTCGGGGAAGAGGAAGGCCAACTACTGAGGCTGCACCCAGCACTGATAGTGTATCGGACGAAACTCAGGTTAGTTTTTACCTTGAAACACCGTTACAATGGAGGAGTTTAAAACGATTATTAAAAGTCAAGGAAACAAATTAAATTCAAAATTAAAAACTTGTTTTTAGGGCTCTCGAGGGCGTACGCGCGCTAATGTACGAAGACCTTCCTTGGAATTAGTCGACAATGCGTCTTTTAACACTCATCCAGGATCTGAACCTTCTGGAAACAGCCCTTCGTTCCCTACTGACCTTCCAGCTGGACCGGTACGTTTCTTGGGAGCAACGCCTAATGAAAGCGTGGATCCACCTGTAATTACTAATACTAATTAAATTCCAATTCCACTTTTAACAAAAATTGAAAATTTTAAAGAATTATTAATTTTAGGTACCTATCGCGTCATCTGACAATCCCCCAGAACCAAAAAAAGAAGAAACATCGACTGAAATCGTCGAAGAAACCGGGACAACAGCCATGTCAGCGATGGACAAAGTGGCCCTCGACCTCTATGCAATCCTCCAAGGAACTCAGAAACTCTCCGGAGAGGATGCGGATTTAAGTAGTGAAGAAAATGCAACTGATAGTGAGGCCACAACTTTGGAACCTACAACCGAACAGATAATTGAGACTACAACTCCCACAACAACGACAACAACCACTACGACTACAACACCAGCTCCTACTACAACAACCACGACTGAAGCACCAATAGGAAGAGGGAGATTTAAGGGCCGTGGGAGGAAAACCACGCACGCAGCGTCGACGACTGAAGCTGCACATACAGAAACAAAGCCAAAAAGCAAGTTCAGTAGACCTAGTTTTGGGGGACGACACAGGGCTGGGGCCAGATCGACCACGGAGGCGGCAGTTGAACCTGATGCTTCCAAAGAGGAGTCCAAACCAGTCAGCCACTCTCGGGTAAATGATAACAAAATATATCAACATTTCTTATACAGTTTATTAAAATGCAAACCAGTAACTGTAAATAATCCATATAGAAATAAGAATAACGGTGATAAAATAATCGGTACTTACCTACTACAAACCTAATTTTGTATATCCAAAATGGATGAATGGTTTTCAGTATGCAGAGCTCGCTTTTTACATTCATTTTTAAAAGACATTACAGTTAAAATCTTGAAAAAGTAGAATATTTATTCCTTGTTTTAATTTCAGCCCACTTTAAGTCGATCTCGATTCGGAGCAACGCGTTCTAGAACTCGAACAACTGCTGCACCTTCCGACTCCAACGACGACTCCCCTAGTAGTACTTCAGCCCCGGTATCAAGACCCTCCCTCACAAGACCTCGCTCGTCTTTTAATCTTCGCGCCAGAGGACGTTCCACCACTCAATCGCCTGAAAATGAATCTCATGACGAAGAAACCGCTTCTAGTTCCGAACCTGCGAGCACCACCACCAGAAGTAGAAGAATCCAAGCTAGTGGTGTAAGACCTCTGCGACCGGGTCCTCGAATTAATCTAGGCAGAGGTCGTCCCGGACAAACCACAACCACCACAGAAGCTCCTGCTGAAGATCATGCAACAGGAGAGGCCGAACCAAGTAACAGCAATCCTGAAGCTTCGGAAGAAAAAGTACGTTTGCGTTTTGTGTTAAAAAAATAAATATTTTTTTTTTCATTAGGATAAAGAGACTTCAGCTCCAGTAGACAACAGTCCTTTAGGTAGACTAAAAAATAAACACCGGGTGAATGTCCAAGCAAGACCAAAAGCTGCAGCGAGTACTCCAGTGCAAGTCCGACGTGTTAATCCACTTCTTGCAAGAAGAAGACCTGGGCAAACTACTGAAGCTTCATCGAGTGAAGCACCACAAGAAGTGAGTACCGAAGCAGCTGAACCTGAAGAACATGAAGAAACTGAAGCACCGGCTGAAGCGTCCAGTACCACCACCGAAGAGCCTAGAGGATTAAACAAATTGCTTGCAGGCAGGAGAAGATTAGCTAATAGACCGGCAGCTCACCACTAAGGCTGAAAAATAATTAATAATCATGAATTTAAACCATGCAAACTGATTATGGATGAAATTTTAACCGTGATTTTTAGTTAAGTTAGAGTAATTAAAAACAATTCTCAGTAAGTTTGCATTGTGAAAGTTATTTATTGTTTTCAGGTTTTTACGCAAAATTTTGTATCTATCAATACACTTCTGATTTTTAAAATTAGATTCGTAATGATATTTTGTAATCCATTGTGAGTTTTGTCTATTATTTTCAATAAAAACGTTAATTTTTGTACATAAGTAATTACGTATTTTATTTATCTCTTACGTATCTAGAATAATTGAGCTTAGGGATTTTTTATACTTAATTATTAGAAAGGTAATTAAGATACTTTTATACGCAGGCCCAAACTGTGCCAATATTATTTTACAATTCAATAAATGTAGGTAATTTATTTTGAATAATTTACCCAATATAAAAATTTCAAAAGAACTATAATTTATAATACACAACTTCTCCAAAAAAGTCCTGTTATTCCTTTTTGTAAATAATTATGTATTACCAAGAAAGATTATTTCGAAAATGGTGTTTTATTTAATTTTTAAAATGAGTATTCTTAACTCGTATCTCACTTTTTATTTAAATAAAAATTTCGAAAAAATTCTAGATGATTTTTCATTAGCTTTTATTTACTCGTATTTTTTTATCAGATGATTCTAGTTATTTTCTTGGAAATGAAAAATGAAAAAATGTTGCTTGCTTAATGAATAATTTAATTTTGTAAAAATAAAATTGATTTACTTGTGTGAATATCGGTATATTTGTCAGATTTATTTACAATTTCTTTATACGAAAACTATTTTCTATTCCTTACAAATATTTGAACGTCACATAACTATCGCATTCCTAAACGTTTATTATTGTACAGTTTACAATTTATATGTCTTAATTATACAATATCTTTGTAATTAGCTTCTGGAACTAAATCTTCTGCCCGTCCTGGCCGGAGCGGCGGTCGAAGAAGGCTGTTCTTCGGCAGTTGGCTCATTGTTCTTCGCACTGTTGAATCTCCTTCTTCCTGCAGAAGCCCTCGAGGGCTTGGAAACTGGCTCGTTGTGTACTGGGGCTGGAGCCGATTCCTCCGCTTCACTCGCGTGATTTACTTTGGAATGTTTGTCTAAAAAATAGTATTTGTAACAAGGTTTTCTTTTCTAAACCACATACTGCTAGCTGCTTGTTCCCTCCTACGTTTCAAGGTTGCTAATAATTCGTCGTTGCTCCTGAAAGGTCGCACAATTCCCCCTTTCAGGAATTTTTTCGGCGCTTCTGTGGTGGAACTCGTCTGTTCTTGCTTTTCTTCTCCTTCAGCTTCATCGACGACTTCTTCTTCCTCCTCCTCCTAACAAACGACATGTCAACAAGTTAGTTAATTAGGCGCCATGAAAACTTGAGTGGATTGTGTAATTTGAACTAGTTTATTGTGCGTGAAATCGTGGATTTTGTATTTTATTACGGTATGTAAATGTCGATTTACACTGAATTCTTGGAAAGTCGATGTTAAATTGATAAGGACTCTCACTTGGTGACGCACCACGTTGTTTTTATTTCGGATATGCAATGGAGACATTTTCATACTAGGTTAAAAGAAAGTTCGAAATACTTTTAGGCGCCACCAAATTATTACCATATTGTCACCTGGTAAATTTACAGCGAGTTTCAAAACTTGACAAGTTTTCTACTCAGCTTTCATAAATCGTAGCCGGACACAAAATTAACTCAAATACAAACATTTTTTTTTAATATAAATTATCAAATTTCATTACCAAAAAACCACATTACTTAAATATGTAACCCAATCAAAACCGGTCACATTTGCATCACATGTTTTTTTCAAATGAAATTTTACCAAAGTAGTTCAAGTTGAAAAATACCATTTTCGTTTTTACACTTTTTTTATGATAATTACCGCTGGTGGTGTTGCTGTTGTTGTTGAAGTAGTTTTGGCGTTTCTGGCAGCTAAGGGATTCCGTCTTCCGATTAGGGAACTACGTGCTGGAGTTTTTTTTGGTGGAGGCGCTGGTTCATCTTCGTATTCTGCATATTCTTCTTCTGCTGGTCGAGCTGAAGTTAATGCTATTAAAAAGACTAGAGCGAATAACACTCTGTAAAACATATTTTTAAATTAATTATCGAGCAATTACTATAATATAGAATTTAATTTATTACAACTTATCCAACAAGTTTTTTACTTTAAAATACAGTCAAACTAAATTATTGCATTATTTACTATTTTGATGTAGGTACATAATTTTTGAAAATGTTAATTAATACATGTTGTGTTAAATTTGATAAAACTTGACCATCAAAATTTTGTTAAAATAAATAACTCTAAATCACCTTGATTATAGTTGATTGATCTAAAATAAATGTTTCATCAAAAAGCTCAGCTATAATACTTTTTGCTTCTGGATGAGATTTTTGACAATATTTGGTAATCGATCAAATTTTTATGGTAGATTTTGGCTCAGTTTTAAATTTTGATTTTTTGAAGGTACGAGTACATATTTGTATTTTTCTAACAGGTTTTTTTTTGAATAATAATAAATGATGTTTATTACAAAGAAAAAAATAAAAATAAAAAAACGTATTTAATAAAATTAAAATTGAAATAAATAACAAAATACCCAAAATAATAATTACATGCAAAAAAAGTAAACTACAAATAATAATAATAATAGTTATTTATTATACAAGACGATAAAGAAATTGTTTATCTACTGTACTCACTCACCAGAATTTCTCGTATCTGGCCGAATATAAACTGTAGACAAAAATTACTTTATTTCTCTAGGCGATAAAAGACTACATTATCTACTGAAATTAGTTGATAAAATATAAACAGTAGATAAAAATTACTTTATTTCACTAGACGATAAAAGACTACTTTATCGACTGAAATTAATTGATAAAAGCGCTTTTTAACATTGAGTACAAAATAAATGTAATTATTTATTTCATATTTCCCGGAAATTTGAGTAGGTGGATACACTATTATTTTTTTAATACTTATATAATATTATTTATTGCAATATTAAAATTTTCACATGTTAATTTTAGTATTAAAAGTTGTCAAGAAAATTGTTTTATCCTTAATGATCTTTTTAGATACATTCATTTTGATTATCAAATACATTGTACTGCATATCTGCGAGCAAATCTCTGCAAGCACTTTACATATGTGGTAATACAATTTAGAAAAAATGATCTCACGTGGTTTGTGCAGTGAAAGTGAGATGTCATAGGTCAGATTGTAATTTATTTGGCTGACATGTATACTAGTAGATAAAACAATAAGTGGTATTAATGTTCAAGTATTTGTGCACTTTAAATGAATTACGTCATTTATGTAATTTTTTGGTCAAGGTTCTGGGCGAGACATTTAAAAATGTATTCAATCAGTTTTACACTAGACTTGCTAAAACTTTGCAATGTTAGATTTACTGAACAAGTGAATTGTACTTTTATTATGTAATTAACTTATCGATTTGAATATTTGACTGTTATTTAAGACAAATCTGACGATATCTTGTAGAAATAATCGACGCCAGGCAGTGATGTCAGTATTTAATTAAATTCCTGGCAGCGCCTTTCTTGTCGGGCTTTACACTTTCGATAAACCTGTTCAACATCCTTGCAACAACCGAGCGTTGCGTTTCGCAACGCTTGACATTTCTTCCTTTACAATGAAACAATTTGACAAAAAGTCCTAAAATGAACAGTCAGCATCAATGTCAATGTTAAGCAACTAAAAAGATTCTTTTGGGATAAGTTTCTTCAACTGACATCATCACCATAACCAGTTTTAACAAGTTAATAATATCAAATTATTAACATTTGTACAAATAGTGAAGTGACTTTCTTACTCATGCTTCAGTACTAATTAGTAATCATTTTGATGAGTTGAAGTGAAAGCTCTTTCAAATGATTAGAGCCAAGTTTCATTGTGACGAAGAAATTTCACATTTGGATTGCATTCGTAAAAAATTAAACATTAAAATGATTTGTCTAAAGAATTACCAGAATTGGTAAAATATTACACAAATTTGAACTTGTTATAATACCATGCAATATCTAATTGTTGAAAAACATTAATATTATCAGAAAGTTTCTCTCATTTAAATTCAGGCTATAAGAATATAATAAGAGGTTCCGCAACTGATGGAATATGTCTTTATGCTTTTAATTATAACGTAATTAGACAAGTGGGTGTAGCAGACAAAGCGAAATAGAAATCTGCTGAAATATACGCCCATTTGCCAAAAAATAAATCATAATCTTTTGCAACTTGTAATTAGCTGAAATAAAACCTCTTCATTGGTTTGGAATTTGTTTAATTCTTCTAGAATTCAAAAATTATGAGGTTTTATTTACCTACTTTAAAAAATTGTAAATTCTAATGAACCAGTTCATTAGAAAAAACAAGATTTGTCTTCCCAAAAAATGTGGTCACGTGCAAGTCGAAGAAATGTTTTAATATGTCAAAAATGTAAAGTTCAAGGGCGACGACTCTGGAGTATTATGATTTTGAAATCATGTGATCTAGTAAAAAAAGTCTAATTTTGGGTATAAAATGATTTTTTTTTATATGACTGCATTATAATGTGCTTTTTTTGTATGCACTTTTTGTCCTTAACGTGGCAACAATACCTAATTATTTACTTTAATGTTATGCAGAGAATAAAATTGTGAACTTTTACTCTACTTTAGCATGAATTATTTATTGGTTTTCTTTTCTTTTGTTGATGACATTTAAGAATCAGATATTAACATTTTTGCTAAAATTTTATCATTATTCTGAATACTAGTAACTATTTGGTATTTTTTAAAATAAAGTGTTTTATTCTATCGATAAATTTAAAATTGTAGAATGCAATTGGTCTAATAAACAAAATAAGAAAACAGTTTAAATTTTATAAAATGAAAGAGTAAATAATTGATAGTTGCTTTCCTTGTTATTGTAGTTATACCAGATGAATAAAAAGTATGGAACCAAACGTTTTTTGCTAAAACTATTTATTTTTTAGAAAAACCAATTGATGAATGATAAAGTACTATAAAAATGTGTTGTTTTATAAAGAATATTTTTTTTCGAAATTTTCTTTTGTTTTTGAGTTCTTCAAAAAAAATATTTTTTTAAATGGCAACCCACTGTAAAACCATTTCTTTCATGAAGGTTATAATTTAATGATTACAACTATCTACTTTATATTTAATTTTTTACAAAAAACATCTTACATAATTTGCAATTTTGATAAAAAATCGCATAACTGAAAAACAAAACAAAATTTCGTTTTCAAAATACTATCACATTTTTTATATTACTTTAATTTATATTAATTATTGTTTTCTGGAGGCAAAAAAAACCGCTTGGTTCCATTTTTTATATTCACTCTGTATACTTTTTTTTCTGTTTGTTATTTGTGATTTAAAATAGAAGAGTTACAAATTTTATTACTTTATTACATTATTATTTACAAAACTTATAAACATAAAACAATTGAGGAGAAAAAAAAAAACGATTTATATACTGAAGTCCTGCGTTAAAAAAATGGCATTTTAGTTACTAGAATCACTGATTAGAACTTGCATACTGACTGGGTAAGTTTTGTTTATTATGCAATGCAAATATTTTTCTTTTTGAATCAAGGTGAACAATTTCTTGCAATATAAAATTAAAACAGTACAAAATAAAGGTAAGTTTACATTTGTAACAGGAATTTGTGAATTTTACACAACATTAAAAGAAAACATTAATAAACAGATAACCTAATTAAGTAAATTAAGAAATTACAGTTCTAATAATTTTGTGTTAAAAGTGGTCCAACTTCAAGGACATTGAATAAATCAAACAAGCTTCTGCTTCACTTAAGGTTACCATCTTTTACCACTTTTTCACATTCCTGTAAAAATTAAAAATAAAGTTCAAAATAATCACACAAGAATCAAGATTTTTTTATCCTCAAGGTTGCGAAAGATTAATTGTTACAAGACTTTAAGAATAACCTGTAATACTTAAACTTAGCAACATTTGACACAACAGGAAATAATTAACCCAATTTAAGATTTGCTCGCATTTTTCCACTTCTCGTACGTCAATCGAAAACGGCATTGCCCAAGTTTTTAAATAATAAGTCGCTTTTAATTATTGACAGAGTTGTTGCGTAAAATTTGCAGATTTCATAATTCAACGCTGAGCTAAAGAGGTTAATTTTATTTCACTGGTGATGCGCACCGTCTTGCAGAACTAAATGCATTTTTTCATTTCCTGCTGCTAGAAGGAGGTCTGCATTAAATGTCGACCTCTCTTTTTGGCTTGTTCAATGTCAAATTGCTTCAGAAAGGACCTTCCAGGCGTGCATATTTGACATATTTCCAGTTGGAAAAGAAAATAAGATTTTTGACAAATAAGCTTCATTGTGATAAAACCCCACAGCTTTTACGTTTATAATTTTATCAGAGCGAAAAAATTCGATTTCACATTGTTACGTAAGGATCTATCAATTCTGCTGGAGGCGGCAAGAAAAAGAAAAAGATTTAAATAGATGATTAGATGTTTCATCCAAGATTACAACTAGTAGTGTAGGTGTATAAAAGTAAGTATGCATAAATCATAGAATCGAGTTGCAGTAAAATATGAAAGCAAAACTGTTCGTTGTGTCTTAGACCTTTAATGCAAAATAAAAAATGCAATTTTTCGTAAATCTAGGTTAAAAAATATCGTAATTGATTGACTTACATAACGTTCAATTTCATTTTTGATTGAGGGATGATCTGCTTGCACTGAAGAGTTTCAATTCACTAGAATCAGCAATCCAGCCAAACCTATATTTATAAATTCTGTCTTGTGTTTTCCCTTCACTTTACAATCGGCCATGTAAGTAGAAAGTGTTAGTGTTACGGAAAACGGGTGAATTTACTCGTATCATGAAAGTGGACGAATATTTCGCATGTATTTACAGCACGAAGTGAAGAATTTTTGAAATTTTTTCTTTGTTTTATCAGTGCATTGATGATTATCAGCATCAGGTGCTTTACTGCAGGTGCCGAAATTTAATTTTACACCAACGGACAAATATAATTACTAAATATGTACTAATTAGATATTAATGTGTGTTATGTTACTTGTTGTCACTTAAATAATATGCCTAATAGATAGAAGCAGGTTTTTTACGCTTACGCATTGAATTCAGTTTAAAATTCTACAGTTTCGAAGGCTTTACCCTTATTTTATTATAAAGAATAATTGTTTATTTCTATAAATAAACGTATCGCGTATTTCTATAAAAACAAAAATAATGTAAGTATTTAATAATCATATCATTCTAAATATCTACATATTTATTAATTCTCACATTGAAACATTTTACCGTTTACGACTTTACGAGTAAATTCGTTATCAAATGATATCAAATCAGTGCAAAAACATTTTGTGTTTATAATTTTATTAAACTATTATCGCCGAAATAAAATAAATTAGATAAAAAAATGTTTAACAAAAAACTTAATTTGTATTAATTTTACGTTAATTATGCTTGATTAGTGATTATCCATTATACTATTCCACCAAAATTTACCTGCTTTTTACCGATAGAATCATTATTTTATTGATTTTTTTTAACTTGGAAGCAAATAACTCTATTTCCGTTTTCTGTTCTTGTCTTTAATTAATATTGAATTAACTATCGGAAATTGCTTTCGGTAAGAATATAAATCAATGAAAAGTGGAACCGACCTTAACAATACATCAGAAAAAAAACTGCTTAATTTACAAATCGCTGAATTTTAAAACTGCCAAGATAGGAATTTAAAATAAAAATGATAGAGGTAATTAACCTTCATAAAATTAAATAAAAATATATTTTTGAAATTATTGTATTGAAAGTACTTACCTACTATACTATTAAGGGCTTTACAGGATAAATAAAAAAGACTACTAATTAACATGAAAACGTAGTTTGTCTCACTTATCTTTTGTTAAATAAAATAAATAGTTTTTTTAATTGTTGAAATCTACTTTATCTTTTAATTTTATGGCTTCTAATGTAACGTAACAACTGTTAAAAATATTATTGATATTTATTTATTACAAATAAAAAATCTTGGATGAGACGCTTTGTATAAAAATTATAAAACTTTTTTTGGAAGCAAATAGAAATATTAAATAATAATGATTGTTAAGATTTTTACTTTATATCTAAAAAAATAGAGAAGGAATTTTAGGGCCAAACGGTAAGTTTTTGATTAGAAAACATATTACACTTTCAACCTTAACATTGTTTTAGAGGTTGCATAACACCGAATACCAACTGGGATGTTTTAAGAGTTGTCTAAATTAAACATTTGTTAAATATGATTAATTATAGAAGAACTTTAAGTTTATTTTGTAATTAATTTAATTCGACATTATTCTATAATTACTATGGTTTAATAAATTAAATATGTTAAGGAATAGATTTTCTTTTATAGTCAACCCGTAAAACATGCTCGGTTGGTAACTTGTATAAAAATTAGCCACCAATGTTCTGTTGAAGGTTCTAATTCAAATTTAAGTAAAAGCATGTTCAAAATGACCATTTTTAAAGAAAGGGTATTCAAAAGTTTTACTCCTTTTTATTTAATAAATTTCGGCTAAAGTATGTTGAAACGGTTCATGTTTTGTATTATACCTATGTAAAATGTTTCGGGGAGTCAATTGGTCTCAAGAAAACCGCAAAATTCTTGATAGTTTAGAAGTTATTGATGATGGTGATCAAAAAAACTGACAAATTTGCATACAAACCGTTTTGACCTTTGTCGAATTCAAATTTTAACTATTTTTGTTTTTAGCAGTGCCACAGAAAAATAAGCTTTTTATAAGATAGGAAATTAAAAGTGCGTTCTAACGGTACTAAACATCGATTTAATATATCCGCTCCGGGTACTAAAAATCGATCAAAATTTTGACAAAAATCGAAAAAATTAGAAATTTCAAAATTGAACCAAATGTATTCCTAGAGACCCAAGAGAGAGAAGTGCATAAAACGTTGTAGAAACGCAAGAAATTTATTTTTGTAAAAATTTGGTCAGCTATTTTGCTGTCATTCTAATAACCATAACAAGCAGAGAGCATAAGAATGCTCTTATATCGTGAAAATTATTTTTTTAACACTTTTTACACTTTTATAATGGTCCTACAAACTTAGAAAAGTGCATAAAACGTTATGAAGCTTGTTTAAAAAAAAAAAAAACGATTTTTTTGAGTTTTTAAACACTAGTAGTCACTTTAACTTTTTTCAAAAAATCGAAATTTTTTAAATTTTACCAATTCTAGTTTTCTTAGAAACTTCTAGAGAAAAGTGCATAACATGTTATTGGGGCAAGTTAAAAAAAATTTTTTTTTGAGTTTTCAAATATGCTACTAATAAGTAGCAAAAAATCAAAAATTTTAAAATTAGACCTTTGATATTTCTTGCACTTTTAATGATTTTAATGAGTAATTTGCTCCCCTCCCACAACAGCAATCATCTTCAAAACCTTTAGGTCAAAAGGTCATATCTAACACACATTATCGCATTTATTTGCTATTTATATTTTGTTGTATGACCTCTCTCTCTCCATCGGACCACGTAGCGCTACAAACATATCCAATAACTTCATTATTATCACACTCTGACTCACTTCCAGTTAGTCTACAACCTCCGAAAGTGAACAATGTTTCTCTTTGATTTACAAGTGTCAGTCATTCAACTGCTTTCACTTTCTGGTGTTTCAATCTTATCCGCGTACTATTTCTACTACCAATACTGCTACACCTACTGGAAGAAGAAAGGCCTTCCAACTAGCAAACCTCGTTTTCCATTTGGGGATTTGTCATCGTCAGTTTGGGGTAAACAAAGTGTTTATAGTCGCTTGGAGACTCTTTACAACCATTTCAAAGCCAAAGGCTATAAACATGCAGGAATTTATTTTTTCAACGGTCCTATATATTTTCCTATAGACCCAGATATAGTTAAAAAAGTGTTGGTAACCGATTTTGAGTATTTTGTGGATAGAGGAATGTACGGAAACGGAGAAGAGTTACCTCTCAGTTGTCACATTTTCTCAATGAAGGGAGAAGAATGGAAAAATATTAGAACAAAAATGTCTCCTAGTTTTACAGCCGGGAAAATGAAAAGTATCTACAATATTGTGGTTCAAAATTGTGAAAATCTGATCAAAGTTTTTCAACCATTTGCGGAAGCAAGAAAAGTTATAGACATTAAAGATATTCTAATGAGATTCACTGCTGATGTTATTGGTTCCACCTCTTTTGGAATTGATTGCAACAGTCTGGATCATCCTGACACCGAATTTTCCAAGATGGTCAACAGAATTTCCAATCACTCCGGATGGAAATTATTAAGAGTTGCATTAGAGGAGGGTCTCCAGAACCCGGGAAATATCGAAAAAATTGCATACAATGATAAAATCGTAGAAGATTTTTTTACAAATTTAGTCAAAGAAACGATGGAATATCGAGACAAAAACAACATCATCAGAAACGACTTTTTACACATGTTGATGCAACTGAGGGAAACAGCCGGAATGTCACTCAAAGAGATAGTTTCCCAATCGTTTCTCTTCTTTATTGCTGGTTTCAAAACTTCGGCTTTAACCATGTGCTACTGTATTCACGAATTGGCCCACAATCAGGACCTTCAAGACAAAGTGAGAGAAGAAATTGATAAAAATTTGGGGAGAGATGTTAGTAAATATGTGTACGAGGAACTTATCGCTTTGCCAACTTTGGATAAAGTTATCAAAGGTAAGACTTTAGTAAGTTATGTTCAAGAAGGAAAAATATTGGTTTTGCAGAAACCATGAGAAAGTATCCTCCTCTTCCAATGTTGAATCGCATCTGTGTCAAGCCTTATCAAGTACCTGGAACTGACGTAGTAATTGATAAAGGTACTCCTGTAATAATTCCGGTTTTGGGACTTCAGAGGGATCCGGAGTTTTATCCTGAACCTTTAAAGTTTGACCCGGAACGGTTCAGTAATGAAAATAACATCGTTCCCTATACTTATTTGCCATTTGGGGACGGTCCTCGTAATTGCATAGGTACTAATTTTTAATAAAGTGGGAATTGTGTGTATGTTATTTTGCAGGTTTGCGTTTTGGAATGGTCAAAACAAAACTGGCTGTTGCTGCGTTATTAAATGATTTTAAATTTCTGGCGAGTTCAAAGACACGAAGAAATCTTGTGATTGATCCAAGCACTACCTCAATTTTGTACAATGTTTCAGAAGGTATTTACACGAAGATTATTAAAGTATAAATCAAGTTTTTGTAGGTTAATAAAAAGTTTTTTTTAATCTTTTGTTTTATTGGACTCAGATCAGTGGGATGAGTTTATTTTTGGATTATGTTATTTCGCTAAAAGTAAACAATTTGGTTCAATATAGTCCGCCGTTTATTGCTTTTTAATGGACATGTGCAGGCTTTTAAATTTTTTGTTTATACGAATAAATAGGCTTAAGGAGTAACAAAATAATCAATTTAATGGATTATTTTAAAACGGAAAAATCCTCAACAGAAAAAGTTTTTTTCTAAATTTAAACATCGGTTAACTTTGAGAAGAAGATTAAAATTTAAAAAACATTAAATACAAGTTTTCTTTAATGACTGCACTTAATTTTTAATATATGTTCTTGGAGACAACATTTCAAAATGTTTTCAGTGGTAAACTTTCTTTAAAAATATATTTTGTTTGAATTCCGAGTGACTGGCTGGTGTTATGTTTTCACGACCATCTCAACATTGTTTTTATCTTATTTTTATAGCCGTATTTACACTTGTTAAATTAGCAACAAACGGAGTAAAATTTAAAAAAGTATAGTTCTGAGAATTGTATAAATAAATATTTTTACAGTTAGGTATTTATCTTCCTAAATACACTTTTAGAGTTATTACTTATTAGAAATAGTAAATTTTAAAATTTGAATAAACTTCTGAAGATTTAATAAATAGAAATAGTTTCTTGATGATATTTTTAATGTTACAATAGTTAATAAGTTAAGTATTTTTTAATCATTCTGTATATAGGTGTCCCAGCAAATTGATAAAGTCCAATATTGACCTTTAAACGATAATATTTTAAAACATGTATATATGGGAAATTGATTTGATACTAGTCTAGTCCATCGCCTAAAATTATTTTCAACTATACAGCGTGTCCCAAAAAAAGTTACAATACAAATTTGTGTTTTTTTAAATGAAACACCATATGTTTCTTAGCATTTTTGGATAAAGATTTGTATGACAATGTTTTGAAGCTAAACTTTTATTAGTCGATTTTGCTTAGTTTAAAAAAAAGACGGTTTTTTGACGAAAACATGCACTTTTTAAACAAAAACTAAGACAGCTAGAACAAATTTTTTCTTACTTCTACAAAGAAGAAAGTACAGAATTTGAAGCTTTATTTATTTTTTTAGATAGACAATTTATCAATCAAAAATAAAAAATAAGATGTTCCATTTAAATTTTGTAAGTTATTGAACTTTTAACAAACGCCTTCATTTTTTATCTTTGCAAATGCAACACACTAAAATGTTACAACCTTGTAGCTTGTACCTTCTTCTTTGCGGTAGTAAAAAAATATTTCTAGATGTCTTAGTTTTTGTGTAATAAATTTTTAAAAAGTGCATGTTTTTGTCAAAAAACCGTCTTATTTTTAAAACTAAGCAAAATCGACCAATAAAAGTTTAGTTTAAAAACATTGTCATAAAAATCTACATCAAAAAACGCTAAGAAACATATGGTGTTTCGTTTAAAAAAACTCAAGTTTGTATTGTAACTTATTTTTGATTTTTAATTTTAAGCAATGGACTAGCTTAGCATCTATCACTTTCCTATATACATGTTTTCAAATTTTATCGTTTAAAAGTCAATATTGGAGTTTACCAACTCGCTGGGACACCCTATATAAAAGAATTTTTGCAAATAAAATATCTATATTTTACTGGATTAAAGAGATGTTTTATTTCATCATATTTTACATTATTTTGGAAATTGCTTGACCTCATCTCAAGCACCTGTCTGAAGACCCGCACCTCCCTAGTATATATTTTTAAGATGCGCACCAACGCAAACCGCACTCAGTTCAAACTTAAATATAAATCGAACTCGTCCCAATTGACGAATTTATATCTCCTTAAGCCAAATCTATTTACAATCACTCAAAATGCACCGTAATATCGACACAATAACCCAAACAATCCACAAATATCTCGAACGCAAATCACTTGACATCTACGACGCCCCTTGGGTAATCAAAAAATCCGAACTGGGAGGATTTGGGGTTTTTGCAACAAGACCGATCGAAGTTGGAGAACTAATCTTCAAGGACTTTCCGGTGATTTTGGGACCTCGAGCTGCCCCCACGTGCCCTTTATCGTGCGTCAGTTGTTACAATAGACGAAATTTGAGGTTGTGTGAGAAGAAATGTGGGCTTTTGTTATGTTCGGATGAGTGTGAAAAGTCGTCAAAACATCAAAAAGAGTGTAAGATTGTAAGACAGTGGCAGAGTAAACCCATTTCGGAGGAGCTGTCCGCAAAGCTTATCAAAGTGTTATCACCAATCAGATCGTTGCTTTTGAGTGAGGAAGACAAAGATGTGGTCAAGTGTCTGAAAGCACACAAGTCGGACCAACACGGGTTTGAAGTGGATGTTATGAAAGATCTCCTGGCTTTAAATGTGAAAGAAGATGAAGAGAAATTCATGAGGTTTGTTTGTTCGGTTATGGATTCGAACGCTTTTGAGGTTCTTGTTGGTTTTGAGGATAACCAAGCGAGTGTTAAAGGTTTGTACCCTCTGGGAAGTCTAGCCAATCACTCTTGTTGCCCTAACACCTGGCACGTGTTTGACGACAAGCAGCATATGATAGTCCGGGCCTCAAAATTCATTCCTCAAGGATCAGAAATTTTTCATTCTTATTCAAGACTCATCTGGAGCACTTCTGCCAGACGCCTCCACTTGTACAGAACCAAACACTTTTTGTGTAAGTGCCAAAGATGTCAAGACCCCACCGAATTTGGTACTTATATCGGTTCAATTTTGTGCAAAATTTGTAAAACTGGGAAAGTAATCCCAATTAACCCTCTCCAAACTGGCAAATGGCAGTGCGAAAGCTGTGGCAACTTGATTCAAAAAGAAGAAGTCGCAAATTTAACTACTCTACTTGGCTCTGCTTTGAATAGTTTCGACGACGACGATGTCACAGTCATGTTGCGATTACTCCATCAAAAACTGCCAAATTTAGTGCCTGAAAATAACCAAACTTGCGTAGAACTCAAGTATAAACTTATCTGGATTCTAGGTCATCATCAAGGCTTTGCTTGGAATGGTGAGTTTGTTTCTTTACCGTATTATTAATAACTCGGTTCTTTATTTTTACTTGGCGTGAGCTTTAAATAACTTTTCAGAACTTTCTGATGAATATCTTACGATCAAGGACAATTTCTGTCAAGACCTTTTGACTTTGTTAGAGGCCCTCCATTTAGGACAATGTAAAATGAGAGGATTGTTGTTGTACGAACTGTATTCCTGTTATAAAGAGCACAAAAAGAGAGAAGGGAAATCTGCAAGTGTTTCGAAGGTAAGATTTTCAAAAATTTGTTACTAAATTTAACGGAGCAAAACATGTTGAGTCATAGGTTTGCATTTGCTGCATTTTTCATTTAATTTATGTTTTAGTTTTCTAAATTAAAAAAAAAGTAAACTACTTTTGTTTAGAATTATCTGGAAAAAAATAATTTGGCACGTTATTTTAAAATTTAATCGTTTTATTTTTCACAAGTTGGCGAAAACAATCAAATTTGATTATGTTAAGTGTTGTTGAACTGTCATAGAAATGTCAAGGTTATTTTTGTTGATTTCTTTTTGTTTTCATTCAGGTTGAATAAAAATGTCTTAATCTGATTTTAAAATAAAACTTGATTTTTGTCCAATTTGATATAACGATACGTGTCTAAATTTATATTCCTACTTATAAATATAAATTTTTGTTTATTTTTAATTTCAGGTACATGAAAATCAGATGAGAAATATGCTTCAAGAAGCTGCGGATATTTTGATGTATGATGTTACCGCACCAGCTGAAATTAAAATGATGTGGCCTGAAGAAATGAAAGTGAAGACGGAATGATAATATATTTCTTTATAATTTATTATTAATGTGCAAACATATTTTTTAAATTSATTAAATCGAGAGATCAAGATAATTTGTAATCGAGTCYTCTRTGGATRTGAAAACGTATGTCTGTTTTTGAACCAAGTGCACATAAAATGACAAGTCCGAAGATAAAACGACAAAATGGCCTAGAATTAGTCTCTGACGTATAATAATAAGACCGTGAACGGTTTTTTTTTTACATAAGTTTAGTTATTAAAATCATAATTTTTTTGATCATACCATTTTACCTTTTGATTTGTGATTTTTTTTTCGGATTCAGACAAATTATTTTGATCTCTCGATAGTTTTATGTTATATTACACTGTACAACATGATTCAAACATTTTTGGTTTATAGAGAAATGTAAAACCTTATCATAATAAAGTTATTTAATTAAAACAAAACACAGTTTTTGGAATTTTTATTAAAGATTATGGTGTAGTGTCAAATGTGAAAGTGAAAAAATATTAATGTTTTTTTACTTTTTTTAACAGTATATGTGCACAAATATTTTTGTAACAACAACGTACATCTCTTGTGTGTATTAACGAGATGTTTAAAAAGTAAACTTATTATAATTAAAATGTTTATACATCACATTTGATGATTTAGCACGAGTTTGAATTTTGTATTTAAAAATCGATCGAGTTGGCTATGCATTTAATACATGAGGCGGCACCTATACGTTGTTCTTATAACATCTAAACTTTGGGCTATAGAAAACGTCATCTACAGCAAGAAAATTGCAAAAAGGCGTTTTTGTAGTTTTTTTTATTAAAAATTATGACTTTTAAAATATTTCGGAGGTATTTGTATTAACAATTTTCTAAAATAGCAGATAATTTCATTAATACATACATTTCGAGCATTGTTTGTTAGATGGCTCTGGTATAGACTATACAGAACACTTCAAAGTTGAAATTTAAAAATGCAATTTTATTATCTAAGAAATTATTCTTCATGCTGTTGTTGTTGTTGCTGCTGTTGCTGTTGCTCTCGCTGTATCGCCAACAATTGCTGGTTTTCGTACCATTGTTGTTGTTGCTGCTGCTGTTGGGTTAGAGGTTGATTCGGGGGGCTTTGATCCGGATTTTGACCCAACTTGCTTCCATCGCGTTGGTCACTAAAACAATATAATCTACTAAAATGTCATAAAATGACATACAATGTCATTTAAAATAAAAAAAAAGATAAAAAGATAAAGAGATAAGATTGATTTATCTAATGTACAGTTGGAGACAAAATAGTGTGGTCGTCAATGTCACTTGAATGACATTAAATTGTAAAGCATGCTTTAGGACTGTTAACCTTATTTTTACRTACTGTCAATCATAGTTGACAAGTTGTATGTACAGTGGCGGTCATTGAAAAGTAATACACGGGATTTTGACACATCCTCTCAAAATTAAAAAAATGTATAATGCAATTTTTTCGTCGTGATTGTCAGTGTTACTGAAAACGTCACTTTTGACATATCAGTGGTGGACGCCGTCAGGAAAATTTCAAAATGCCGCAATTGTCGAAATAAATAAATTGTACAGAAATAAATAAATATAAAGAAATAAATGTGAACAAAATGACTGCTCTTAAAGCAAAGAAGAAGATTCTAGTGACATTTTAAACATGACAGTGATTGTCAATTTTAAGGGAAATTTACAACGCCAATTTTTTTTTATTTGTCAAGTGTATTACTTTTCAATGGCCGCGACTGTACATATTTTGATAGAAAAATATAATAGTTGTCATTAATTTGAAATTGTAATTTGTTTAACATTAAAGCTTGAATTACACTGAAGTGTCAGAAAAGTGACGAACAAAGTATTTTGTCTCCAACTGTACTTTAGACACTTAAGATAAACTTATAAAAATAAGTAAAAAAAATACTTTAAGTCAAAGTTACATCAGAAGATWAACAGTCAACATGCTCAAGATTACACACCTGTAAGTCTTTTAATAATTAATAACAGTTTCTTACACTTTAATAAAGTTTTTTACTTTTTTTCATATTACGATTTGCCGCTTCTGATGACTTACCAACTCTTTACCAATACTACACCACTGATGGAATTTCCTCTGGTTTATCAGTCGACCAACCTTACTTCACTCTAAACGGCAAAAACATTACCATTTACAGTGGTGCCATGCACTACTTTCGGGTTCCCTCGGAATACTGGCAAGACCGTCTCCGGAAACTAAGAGCAACCGGACTCAACACTGTCGAAACGTACGTTCCTTGGAACCTTCACGAATTCATGAACGGTACTTTTGATTTTGGAGACGGCGGAAGCGACTATCAGAGACTTTTAGACTTGGAACTCTTCCTGACTCTTGCAAAGAAAGAAGATTTGTTTGTTATCGCACGTCCGGGGCCTTATATTTGCGCAGAGTTTGAATGGGGGGGTCTTCCTAGCTGGTTGTTACGCGAAGAAGGGATTGTAGTGCGGTCGTCAGATCCACTCTATATGAAATACGTCAAACGATACTTTGATAAGTTATTGCCGATTCTTGCCAAGCACCAGTTTACCAAAGGAGGGCCTATAATTGCCGTGCAAGTGGAGAACGAATACGCGTCAGTACCTATGGAAAAGGATCACGAGTATTTGCAACAACTGGTCGATATCATGCACGATAACGGCATTGTTGAGTTGTTGGTAACATCGGATGGCGCTGGTTTTGGTAATGCTGGTACCCTTCCTGGGGTGCTTTTCCAAACGGTGAATTTTGGATCAGACGCTAAGGCTTCGTTCACAAAATTGGAAGACATGCAACCAAACAAGCCACTAATGGCGATGGAGTTTTACCCAGGATGGTTCGACCATTGGTCCGAAAGCCACCACACTGTTGGCAATAGCACATTTGAGAAGAATTACGAAGAAGTTTTGGCTTATCCAGCGTCGGTCAATTTGTACATGTTTCATGGTGGTACCAATTTTGGATTTCTGAATGGTGCCAATGTTGGTTCTGGAGATAATTCCAATTTCCAACCAACCACTACAAGCTACGACTATGATGCCCCTTTGTCGGAAGCTGGAGATTATACTGACAAATACGAGATTATTCGAAACTTGATAAAGAAGTACAATCCGATCCAGACAAAAACACCCGATCCTCCGGAGTTGTATGACCGCCAAGTTTATCCAACTTTGGCAATTGAGGAACAATTGGAGTACATAGATACCATAAGACAAGTTCGATATCGGATTTTTACGACTTCTTACGAATCGATGGAGACTTTACCGGCGATAAATTCTAATTCTGGGCAAAGTTACGGCTATATTATCTACCGTTCTACACAAATGAACATTCCAGCAAATTCAGTTTTGACCATCACGGGTCATGTTCGTGACACTGTGATGATTTTAATAAATGATGTCTTAATCTCAAAACCATTATCTAGCCTCGACGATTTAAATACCTTCGGCTACTGGAGACTCGACAATTCGAACATAACTCTAACAGAAACCGATTTAGTTAACGCAACTTTGGATATAGTCATAGAAAATTATGGACGTGCCAATTATGGCAATTTCTATCATCAATTTAAAGGTCTCACTCCAGATAACAAAGTTTATCTCAATGATGAAGAGTTACAACCTTGGCTAACTATTCCTCTTGAATTTCAAAAATCTTATAATACGAAACTAACCGACTGGAAACCGGCTGATGAATTGAAGAAGGGACCAGGATTGTATAAAGCTATTCTCAATCTTGACAATAATGTTGACAGATATAATGATACGTATATTGATATGCAAGAGTGGAAGAAAGGGATTGTGATAGTTAATGGATTTGTCTTAGGGAGGTATTCTTTCATAGGGCCACAACAAGCACTTTACTTACCGGGAGCTTATCTASAACATGGAGACAACGAAATTATTATTTTTGAACAGTTCCAACCGGCGGCWCAAGTGAAATTTTCCAAGGACCAAATATACAAAAATCCATGATTGTGGGTATTTTTGGACTTTGCAATGTATTATTTCAAGACCAATTAATTTTTAATATACATAAGCCTTAAACGTTTTTTGTCAAATTTTTATCTAATGCGAGACTCGGGTTAACAACGTGTTAATTTTCCCTGATATGTAAAAATTAATCATCAGTACCAAGAAGAGTCTGGCGTCACTTAACGTCGGAATCTCGACTTGATAGTTTACACCGTAAAACAATAGATTGTTTTTGCTTACATCGTAGCCTTCATTGATACCTATGTTCCTTAAGATAATAAACTTGAGACTTAAGATGAATTACACAGTAAACAAAAATGTGAATTGGTACAAGCATTATGTAAAGTAATTCTGTATAAAATCGAACAAAAGTTTTTCCACTCGAAACAATAATTTTCAAAAAAGGTAAAATCGTGGAATATTTCTCTATCATCGTCATCCGGAATTGCATGTAAGTAACCACTAAATATAGCAATCATTAAATTTGCCACAAAAAACACCGTAAAAACTTTGCATTCCTTTTCGAACAAGTAGAAAGAGGGACCATCTGCAAGTGTAAGCTTCCGTAATTGAGCTTTTTTAAATAATTTAAGGATCATGTCTGTTTGTGCGATTGTAAATAGTGCAACAGTGGATACTATAACCTAGATAAAAATTTAGAATATATATATTTTTTGTAAATTTTTTACAAAAAAAGTTCCAAAAAATACAGGTGCATATTTGACAAAGTAGTAGACGTTGAAATTAACATAAAAGAAATAGACTTGGATAAGTGTTGTTGAAAGATGTATTAAAAGAGTTGTTAATAAAATCAATTTTGTTGTTTTAAATTTTAAAATGTCGAGGATAAGAATTCTTACTAACTTCATTGAATCATCTGAATGAAACGTTCACAAATTATTAAAAACAGAAACTACATAAAATCTACTTACTTTTAAAAAAAGATTCTAAGTCAAAATTGGTGCTGTCTGTTGGTGTTCGTGGCATTTTTACATCTAAGCTCTCAGCAGTGCAAAGCACACTATTAAATGTTTCTTAATGGATTCAAGACAGGTGATTAACTCAGAAATATGCCATTAAAGAAAAGTTTATCAATTTATTTTAAATTATCAACAGATCTAAGTTTGAAAATAAAGTTTCATTCTCAATCTTGACAATAATGTTGACAGACATAATGATACGTATATTGATATGCAAGAGTAGAAAAAAGGGATTGTGATAGTTAATGGATTTGTCTTAGGAAGGTATTCTTTCATAGGGCCACAACAAGCACTTTACTTACCGAGAGCTTATCTACAACATGGAGTCAACGAAATTATTATTTTTGAACAGTTCCAACTGGGCGTCCCAAGTCAAATTTTCCAAGGACCAAATATACAAAAACTCATGATTGTGGGTATTTTTGGACTTTGCAATGTATTATTCCAATTCCAATTAATGTAAAATTAATGTATTAGACCAATTAATTTTTAATATACATAAACCTTAAACGTTTTTTGTCAATTTTTTTTTATCTAATGCGAGACTCGGCTTGACGACGTGTTAATTTTCCCCGATATGTAAAAATGAATCATCAGTACCAAGAAGAGTCTGGCGTCACTTAACGTCGGAATCTCGACTTGTTGGTCTCCCGRAGCGCCCCCTAATTGCCGGTCCACCCCTGGGGGGCGGCGCCCTGCACAGGTGTAATGAATTTCATATAAAACACTCTTGCACGTCGTGAAAAATGATTTTCGTATAGATACGATCTCTTGATGGAAGGATATTAATAAAGCTGTACATGCGTATTGTCAAAAATAAACTCTTCGCTTTTTTAATCAACCAAATGGAATTTGTTTCGTGATTGGTCCGGTACTGATTTATCGATTCGGATGCTGCTGTCTTAATCTCATAACGAGAAAAAATCGATGCATTTTTTCCAAATCCGGCCACAAGGCGAACGCAATAACATAAATCAGTTTGTATGGTATATGACGCACCACCTGTCCACCAACTTAAAACACAATCAATCATCTCGAATAATTATTACCCAAGCGAAGATGGGACGTTTTGAAACTTCTCATTTGGGAGAAAACGATTAGAAATTGCGGTTTGAAAGCAGAAATGTTTTCTTATCTTCAAAAGTCTGACCACACGCCTCTCTTGCAACGGTCTTTTCTTCAATTAATTGATTTGATAATTAATTATTAGTCAAACCTGGCAGTGATTAATTATTTTAATCTGCCGAAGTCATAATTAGAAAACAGTAGGTACAAGCACCTGACTCATGTACAATTTAGTAACTCAAAAAAGATATTTTCTAATTCTTGTTAGGTGCAATACTCAATATTTTTCTTTTTTTTTGAATTTAAATATTATTTTGACAAGGAAATGTCTATTTTTTGATAGAAAAGTCTCAAACTTTTGCATTTTTCGAAATAGTCTTTTGCTAAATGGCGTGCCATTAATCAGCCTCGTCCAATTTCGTCTGTCTATTGCCACAAAGGCGAGCAAAACGAGGTTCACGTTTAATTCCGGCCGTTTTTTTCATAGCAGGAGTGACGATGTGTGTTTAGTTGTAGTGTGGAATGTTAGGTAATTAATCACAGTCTAGTTGGCTGGTTTGGAACTCCGGGGGGCTCACACAGCCTTAAACACCGAGAAAATTGCCAACGATTCGTTGCTTTTTTTACGGGCCGCCACCAAATCTTCCAGATTTTAACACAATTGATGCGGAGATATTAATCAGAGTATTGGTTATGWTTTATGAGTGGCGAAGGGAAAAGGGAGGAGTYCTCCGTTTCATGTGATGAGATTAAATAGTTCTCTTAATGGCTWGTCTTTTTCTTGTTTTATTATTAACTGGTTTAGGGACTGGCTCATAAAGTATGTGTTTGGTATGTTGAAAATTCTGAGGCACCTTTTAATTATCTAATCAAGTGGGACTGACGTTATTTATTCCTCCTGGGAACTCCCTACGGTATATTAACACCAAACTGGACCCGGCCCGTCGCTAAACAATAATCCGGGAACTGAATCAATTAAAAAAATTTATGGCAGCCTGAATAATGAAGAAAACTATTTTTGGATTTTGGTACGTAAGAAAAAAAAATTTAGTATATGACATCTTATCGAGAGTAGTGCGTTATTAATTTTTGCCTCCTACTTTGGTCTTCTTTTTGAATTTATACAAGGTGTACTTTATGAGAAAATAAATCCAATTAAATCAAATATTTTTTTTTCTTATCCTTGAGTTATGATTATAAACAATAAACAAAAAATAAAGAATACAAGTTACTGTCTGCAAGAATGTGCATTTATTACATAATTGTGTAGAAATATATTAGTAAAAAGTATGTGTTATTAATAGGTATTGCAGAAGTAGTACAATTATTTTGATAAGGTGATGAGTGATGACTTAATTTTAAAAATCTCTTTTTAGTGCTTTTAATAGTGAAAATGCTGAATACATAGCTTTTAAAATCTGAAAACAAAATGATAAACTACATGAGTTGAAAATGCATCATTTAGAAAAAATAGAGGTTTTTTTCTTATTTTGTATGAGTGAATTTTTTGATAGCAGAAGACTGAATCTTACCGAAACTCCCAGTTCATAATTAATTGCATAATTTTCCGAAAATTGTAATTTGAATGGTTGCATTGTTGACATTCTTACAATTAAAAAAAACCGTTTGTTTTCTTCATTCCAATCATACCAATTGCAATTATAAATAATAGCATCCACGTCATCTGAAGACTGTAACTGCAATTCAAAGAATGTGTTTTGTAAATTATCTCACTTACCGAATTTTCAACCATTTGGCCAGATACTATAGCTGCTATAAAAGTGTTGAATGCAGCTACACCAAGAGTACTAAGACGACCAAACTTATCAAAAAGATTGCCTTCAAACTAATCAACATTTATCATATAAGTTTTTTTTTCTATCTCTTACCAACATAACAAAGTATAAGATGCTAATTCCCAAAAGACATCCGACAATGGCAAAAATCGCAATAAAACCTCGAATCATTTTTTTAATATAAATTGCAGCTCTAAAATATTTTCTTAAATATTTTAAAAATGTGTGTAGTGAAGTCCTAACAAGAATAATTTTACGTGATTTTTATGAAGATGAATTAATTTTTCTTTTATGTCTCGTTGATAGTTTTCATTGTAAAACAAGAGATTGTTTTTGCTTACATCGTAGCCTTCATTGATACCTATTAGATGCTCCTTAAGATAATAAACTTGAGACTTAAGATGAATCACACAGTAAACAAAGATGTAAATTGGTACAAGCATTATGTATGCCACAGCTGGAAAAGTAATTCTGTATAAAATCGAACAAAAGTTTTTCCACTCGAAACAATAATCTTCAAAAAAGGCAAAAGCGTAGAATATTTCTCTATCATCGTCATCCGGAATTGCATGTAAGTAACCACTAAGTATAGCAATCATTAAATTTGCCACAAAAAACACCGTAAAAACTTTGCATTCCTTTTCGAACAAGTAGAAAGAGGGACCATCTGCAAGTGTAAGCTTRCGTAATTGAGCTTTTTTAAATAATTTAAGGATCATGTCTGTTTGTGCGATTGTAAATAGTGCAGTAGTGGATACTATAACCTAGACAAAAATTTAGAATAATTGATATTTTTTGTAAAGTTCTTACAAAAAAAGTTCCAAAAAATGCAGGTGCATATTTGACAAAGTAGTAGACGTTGAAATTAACATAGAAGAAATAGACTTGGATAAGTGTTGTTGAAAGATGTATTAAAAGAGTTGATAATAAAATCAATTTTGTTGTTTTAAATTTTAAAATGTCGAGGACAAGAATTCTCACTAATTTCATTGAATCATCTAAATGAAACGTTGACAAATTATTAAAAACAGAAACTACATGAAATCTACTTACTTTTAAAAAAAGATTCTAAGTCAAAAGTGGTGCTGTCTGTTGGTGTTCGTGGCATTGTTACATCTAAGCTCTCAGCAGTGCAAAGCACACTATTAAATGTTTCTTAATGGATTCAAGWCTGGTGATTAACTCAGAAATATGCCATTAAAGAAAAGTTTATCAATTTATTTTAAATTATCATCGGATCTAAGTTTGAAAATAAAGTTTTGTTTGATCACGCTTTGCCAAAAACTAAAAAATGTTGGACAAAACACAACTCGATCTGGTTGGTCTCTGCAGGTTCTTGTATCCCAGCCATGACCATAATTCGTGACTGTCCTAATATGGATCGATGCGGCATTAGAAAAACACTCAAGACAAAAAACAAAAGGAAAAATAAACGTGTCATCCCCAACCACCAAGATTTCAATCTGTGAAATTTTTACATAAAATAAAATCCACGTGCAAGATGTAAAACACCGGTGTTGACCACAGACTGTAACCCTCGTGACAAATTGCAACCCTCTTTAGAGAGAAAACGTGACAAGCTGCCTTCCAGAAATCTGAGATTCGATTTTATCAACCGAAATCTGAGGGGGATGTCAACGCATTGCTACCTTTTTGTTTCGGTAGAACATTTTTAACATATGTTAACAAGATTTAGAATGATTGTTCTGTCAGAATTCGCCGACTTTCAAATTAATTCCGAAGGAGGGGTGAGCTTCCCCTCTCATCGCCATTGTCTCGTTTCATTTGCGCCAATTAGCGGCTGGAGGGGAGGGCGTCTCTCATTATTTTATTGCTTCTTCTTCGGCCGCCATTAACGAATTTTTTTCTATTCCCACGCCTTTCTCCACTTCCGTTATTTATAAATACAGTCTCTCATAATAAAAATGGAAACTAACTGTCCATTCGAAATTCATTTCAAACACGTCGATTAAAGTCGTGTAAGTTTGAAACACTCTTGATTGTATCTATCGAGATTTCCATATTCACCCTGTATGTCATGGGAATGGTAATATTTTTTTCGCTTTTGGTGAAGTTTCCGTTTTGATGACGCCGTCCTTTCTCGGAATCGGCAAAAAACAACTGACTACGAAGACGGTAGCTATTGTTTATTGTGTTGCTCGATAAAAAACAATCTGTGCGGCGAAAGCTGTGCCGCTTCGTGATAAGGGCCTTAACGCGCAATAATTCTGGTAGCGCAGCGGGACTTCGAGATTTTCATCTCGGGGCTGCCAAGGAGTTGCCACTCCAAGTTCGAAAATTAATTAAAAAAGATTTTTTAGGTGCCCTAAACATTCTACTTTACAATAAGAAAAAAAGTAAAAAATATAAAGCTGCACAAGGTAAAATCAAGACATTTATTTACCAACAAATAAAATACAGAAAGGCTTATACCTAAGCTCATAAATGTTGAAACAACCATATTTACTTAAATTTGTTAATTAATTAAAATGTTATTTTAACTTATACAAGGTGTCCCAGCGTTTTGAGAAAGTCTATTAGTGACCTTTAAATGGTAAAATTAAAAAAATATATATATATATATATAGGACATTGATAATACTAATCTAGTGCAACACCTAAAATTATTTTCAACTATACAGTGTGTCTCAAAAATAAGTTACGATACAAACTTGTGTTTTTGTAAATGAAGCACCATATGTTTCTTAGCGTTTTTGGATGTGGATTTTTATAACAATGTTTTTAAACCAAACTTTTATTGGTCGATTTTTATTAATTTTAAAAGTAAGACGGTTTTTTTGACGAAAACATGCACTTTTTAAAAGATTTTCATCTCGGGGCTGCCAGGGAGTTACCACTCCAAGTTCGAAAATTAATTAAAAAAGATTTTTTCAGGTGCCCTAAACGTTCTACTTTATAATAAAAAAAAGTAAAAAACATAAAACTGCAAAGGTAAAATCAAGACATTTATTTACCAAAAAATAAAATACAGAAAAGCTTATAAATAAGCTCATAAATGTTGAAACAACCATATTTACTTAAATTTGTTAATTTATTAAAATGTTATTTTAACTTATACAGGGTGTCCCAGCGTTTTGAGAAAGTCTATTAGTGACCTTTAAATAGTAAAATTAAAAAAAAATATATAGGACATTGATAATACTAATCTAGTCCACCGCCTAAAACTATTTTCAACTATACAGTGTGTCTCAAAAATAAGTTACGATAAAAACTTGTGTTTTTTTAAATGAAACACCATATGTTTCTTAGCGTTTTTGGATGTGGATTTTTATAATAATGTTCTTAAACCAAACTTTTATTGGTCGATTTTTCTTAATTTTAAAAGTAAGACGGTTTTTTTGACGAAAACATGCACTTTTTAAAAGATTTTCATCTCGGGGCTGCCAGGGAATTACCACTCCAAGTTCGAAAATTAATTAAAAAAATTTTTTCAGGTGCCCTAAACGTTCTACTTTACAATAAAAAAAGTAAAAAATATAAAACTGCAAAGGTAAAATCAAGATATTTATTTTTACCAAAAAATAAAATACAAAAAAGCTTATAAGCTCATAAATGTTGAAACAACCATATTTACTTAAATTTGTTAATTTATTAAAATGTTATTTTGACTTATACAGGGTGTCCCAGCGTTTTGAGAAAGTCCATTAGTGACCTTTAAATGGTAAAATTAAAAAAAWATATATATAGGACATTGATAATATAATATATAATAATCTAGTCTATCGCCTAAAATTATTTTCAACTATACAGTGTGTCTCAAAAATAAGTTACAATCCAAAATCCAATTTTTTTTTTAAATAAAACACCATATGTTTCTTTGCGTTTTTAGATGTAGATTTTTATGACAATGTTTTTAAACCAAACTTTTATTGGTCGATTTTGCTTAGTTTTTAAAATAAAACGTTTTTTTTGACAAAAACATGCACTTTTATAAAAACTTATTACACAAAAACTAAGTTATCTAGAAATATTTTTTTACTACCCCAAAGAAAAAGGTACAAGCTATAACATTGTAACATTTTTTTAGTGTGTTGGATTTACATAGATAAAGAAATGAAGGCGTTTGTTAAAAAATAGGGTGTTCCATTTAATTTTTTTAAGTTATTTAACTTTTAACAAACTTCTTAATTTATTAATCTTTACAAATGCAAAACACTAAAAAATTGCTACAGCTATAAATTCTGTACTTTCTTCTTTATAGAAGTAAGAAAAAAATTGTTCTAGCTGTCTTAGTTTTTGTGTAATTTATAATAAATTTTTAAAAAGTGCATGTTTTCGTCAAAAAAACCGTCTTATTTCTAAAACTAAGCGAAATCGACTAATAAAAGTTTAGCGTAAAAACATTGTTTTAAAAGGCTACATCCAAAAAATGCAAAGAAACATATGGTGTTTCATTAAAAAAAACACAAGTTTGTATCCTGTTTCACTTATTTTTAGGCCATGCTGTATGGTTGAAAATAATTTTAGGTGATGCACTAGATTAATATCAATCAATGTCCTATACGTCACTAATGGACTTTTTCAACTCGTTGGGACGCTCTGTATAAAAACAGAGAAATAAAATAATGAAGAAAAAAAGAAAGGATCAAAAATAAAACACTTTTGACACATTAAACAAAAAAAATCTTTTTATTCAAGAAAACTGTAACAATATTTTTTTTTAACTTTATTATACAATATGCAGCTTTTAAACAAAGAACTAAAAAAACTGTTGGTTTGCCGTTTATGGCATTTGAAAAAAAACAATGCTGTTTGGGAATGTAAATTTGTAAATAATTTGACATTAAACAAAGTCGTGTTGTCTAAACAGGAAACGGTTGCATCACTCAATCCGCCACCGATTTTCGAAATCTCCATTGTAAATGTCCAGTAGTTGTTTACATTTCGGCATTGTTTAATCATCCTCGGCGCATCTCGAATGATTAGTCAAAATATCAGACTAATAGCTCGATGTTAATATTCAGACATAAACAAACCCTCTTTTCAAAAACTGGGTGACAGTCATTTACCATATCATTAATAATTTATAYGTGTCAAATTCAATGTGGCCAGCTCATTGTATTCGTCTGCCGTCACAATCGCACACAAAAAAATCATTTAAATTGTTAAAACTCACAAGCTGTTATCTATCAATAACACCCTTCAACGTTAATAATGACAGGTCGATAAAACATCGATCTGATGGATGAGCCAGCGAGAAAACTGACCCTCCTAGAATGCTTTTAGCGATGAACAATAAAAATGTTTAAGACCTTTTGCTTTTCCYATTCGGGCGATTTGTTTTATTGGCGGTACTCAAATTTTACGTATAATTTACTCCACTTTGTGACCGCAATGGATTAAGAGTGCGCGTCAGGAGTCCCCAAAATTTCAAGCGAATTTAGGGACTGCGATAATGCAATCACGACGATTGCTGCAYATGTGATAAAGTGTGTGGGTTAACGAAACTAACAAAAGACATTTAATTAAGAGTAAGGGCACTTTTATTAAGTTAATTCGAGTTACGGATTTTGAGGGTTTCTGCTCGGTGTACTTTGAAGATTGGGTGACCTGTGAAGGAATAAGTTGAAGCGACCCGAGCTAATGTAATGAAAGCGTTTGTCTTCAGGGTTGTCATCGCACTTTTAACACCAACCAACATTCGAAGCTCAAAGCATTTAAAAAATTAACACATTCAAATATAAAATTACCCCAAACCTCGATTTTTTATTCATTTTAGTGTGACAAAAAAATAATACAGTGTAGGGTGATTCAAAGGTGTTGGATCAACTCTCAAATGGTGACAGAAGACTTTCAGCCAATATAAAAATAAATGCAGGTTTTTTAAGCTTTTTTTTTCTGAGAAAAAACAGAATTGATGACAATATTCAAATTATTATGTAGATACTTAGTTTTTTTAACAGGAATTTTTTAATGTTACCAAATCTGCTGTTTCCACTAATTAAATTCAAGAATACATAATCTTAACGGTCAAAAACTTAACTCAAAGATCTAACTTTTGAAAAGCTATAGGTGAAAAAAGCTTAAAAAATTTTTTGTCATGGGAACTTTTGGATGTCTTTTACCAGCACCCAAAAGATGGTCTAAGACTTTTGAATCGTCCTGTATATATATATTTGACCTCAAATTTAAAATTTTTACTCTAGTTTTTTCTCCAACAGAAACTAAATGTTTTCAAAAATAATTAAACTTAATGATCTGGTGAGTTAATTATCAAAGTTTAACCATTAAAGTATATTTACTTTATTAACCTTTTAACCTTAACAGATCATTAGTTTAGCACGATGAAACAGAGAATTTCAATTACCTACCGTTCATTTAGATTTCTTTTTTAATTGCTTATGGYGAGTAAAATAAAAAACACAATAAAGTTTGTGATAAAATCTTCTCTTTGAAAAGACGTTTTCCTTAGAGCTTGAATTCAAAAAACTGTTTTCAAATAACATTGTGCTTTAAACTTTATATTGTTTTAAAAATTAAGGTTCTTGCACATGTCCAGGAGCGGATCCATGAAATATTTGTATCAAAAGTGAAAACCTATCAAAACTTAACTAATTTTTTGCAATTCTAAAAGTAACAAAAAATTTGCACATTGTTGTAGGTACAGAAATTATGCAAACAAAGCACTGTTTACCTCGTTTTTTTATTAATAAAGATTAAATTAATTATAAATTGCAATAATTAAGCTCAGTACTACAACAACTGGTTGAGAGGGATACAATTTTTGACACTTTGATCCTGGATCCAAGGTAAAATTTCTTCCAAAAATTCCAAAAGTCAGTATTTTGCTATGCGGTTCGACAAGAGCAAATGTTCTTTCAAGACGCGAGCAGTTTTTAGCATCAGAAACAATCTGTGAGCTCCATGTTGTAAACTTRGGATGTATTGGTCGTATAGAACTGAGCAAAGAATTTGGAAACTGAGAACTGTAGTAAAMTTTTTCTTTGACGGGCAAACCAAAAGTTGCCTTAATTACGAGTCTTTCAAAAGTGACCGGCCATTCAATGTCATCATACTTCTTAAATCTTTGACCACAAGAACTCAATGTAGCATTTAAACAAGCAATAACAGCACAYATTTCAATGCCTCCAGGTCGAAAAAGGTTGTAGTAGGTTTTGTAACCTTTATATGCCAACAGATGATAAGTGTAATGTGCCTTATTGTTTGTAACCGAATTGTTTATAGATAATTTAATGTCAAAGTAGCAACAAAAATAATTCTTTTCCACTTTGTTGTAACAAAGATATACAATTGATTCTTTTTCTCTTAAAACTCGCGACTTGTATTCTACAAAAATCGGTTTAGGTTTATTTCATTTCAATTATTTTTAAATTATCACTGTGCAAATCTGGATCTTGTTCTAAATAAAAATCATCCATTTCTTTTGCCAATTCATCAATGCTTTTTTCTTTTACATTTTCTGCCAGGACTCCAGAAGTCTCATTAATGAAATTGTAAACATAAGCTTTAGTGCCACCTTTTGCTCCAATTTCCATCAAAATTGGTCCATTTTTCGCTAACATTTTTATCTAAAATTTAGCTCTAATAATCAAAAACTTACCATGATAAATAGCAGTCCCGCCTTGTCCTTTTTCAGGATTATTAGCTCCTGATAAGAAAACCGTGATATTAAATTCTTGTGCCCACATTTGCATAACTTGCAGTGCTAAAACATCTTTTATTTTTTACAAGATGACAAAAATATAGTACCAAACATGTCAGGAATGGTAACTGAGATATCCAATTGCTGCAAACAACGTAGATTCTGTTGATGTCATCRGTGTTAGAAGGTAGAACAATAATTTTTTCGTATGAAAAACTAAATCCTGTGACAAAAGATGTTGGTGTGAAGTATAATGTAGTGAATGCCCATTCAAAAATAGTTATAATAGGGACAACAAAACGGGCAGGGATTGCAAATGCTATCGGTCTGTGGTGTAAATTGTTGTCACCTATTCGATTTTCTCGTCTAAGACTGCAAACACAATAGAGACTAAATATAATTATAATTTGAGACAATTGTACCCAAATTCAAGAATTCCATTTATATTAAGTACTACATCAGAAGTAAAGACTGTGTCGTACTCTCTTTTTTCGATTAAATTAAAAACAATAACCACTTTATATTTGAGAGCAGCACACGACAACATTTTTAGAAATAGCGGATAGCCAGCCTCATTACAAGGTAGAACATGTTGTTGGAATTCTACGCCATTTTGAATGAGTTCTTTCTTCGTTTTGGAYTGGTCTAAAGTAGCTTCTGGAAAAACTACAAGCAAAAGTTTCTATWACAAAATATTTGTATAATCTGRTTCTTTGGAATTTTTACATGTTTCTCGGACATTTCGTGGATTATCTCGATGTATTTTTGGGCGTTTTTAATCTGTGTTTCTTGTATTGTATAAGATGGATGTGTTATTTGTTTGTATTCTACCACGACGACGCTTTTTGAAGTCGTGTTCACTAAATTCTGAAAACTTATAAATGCCACAGTTTATTCAGCTTCTTTACTTACTAATAGTGGAATTATTAAAAACCAAATTTTTGTGATGCGTATTAACATCGTTTGACACATTAAAAGTGTCATTGTTGTGTGTCAAATTAATTTAAAATAAGTTTTTTTTAATGCAATTGCCAAACAGTCTTAACGTTGGCACCACTAGTAAATTTATTTTTGTAATTTTAATAAAGCAAGTTGACAGTTCCGGTTTTTTGAATTAATTTGAAAACAATGCCATTAAACGTCAACACAAAAAATCGTCTAAAAAAATGTAGAGACGAAACATCAAAAAAGGAACAAATTCGGTAACAGTTTTTCGAAATTTGGAAACGAAGAGTTCGCAAGCAGGAAGTTAGAAAAAGGGCCCGTTAAAATGTAGACGCAATTTGTAATGCAGATTTGCTAAACATTCTCAATTTTTAGCAAGAAATTGACAAAAATACAAAATAAACATAATTGAGAAAGAACCTCGGAAAGAACGCAATTAAATTAGTGTCTTGTGTATCATTTTTGAGGAACGAGTTGAAAAAGTAACAATTTTGAAGAAAAAACTGAAGAATTCATAAAATGGATCAACTTTGAGCTCATTTCAATAAATTACACAAAATTTATTGCTAATCATCATAATACTTACTTGTATCTTTTGCTAAATAACTTTTCTGTATATACATCTTTTTTTCTTCAAAGTTTTTGTAGCAAAAACCTCATTTTTGTCCACAACATTGTACTTACTTGCGGTGTGTTTCTATCAAAATTATTAGCACTGAATTCTGTCTTTGGACCTATGGTAATGATGTCTGTCCTCAGATATTCAATTATAGCGCTTTCAAAAAGCAAACAGGCAGACAAGATTTATAAAAGTCAAAATTTTGACAACATCTCAATTTGAAAACATAACTATAACATTTTAACAAAATTTCTAGACAAAAACAAAGAGCAAACAAAATTTGTGACTATGCAGACAAGCTGCTACCAATTTTTTCACCAAAATTTTGACTTGGTAATTTCCATTTAAAAAAGATTAGTCTTTGTTTTTTTTAAATTTGTAATTGAGTTTTTCGCTGAAGATGTTTCAAAAATAAGAAAAAAACTCGTCTTTGAATATCATGAATGCGGTCCTGTCTCCCTAAATGACCCTCATATCCTTTCAATAATATTTTCCTCTCCGTTCCTCGACTTATTGATTCATCATTGTCAATTTTTTAGCTTTTCACAATGGAGAGTCAGTGACTGGAAGACAGGAAGATGAGTTTGGTAAGTACCAAACATCCCCATCTACCGGAAGCGAGCTCGTTTAAAGAACTATTGTCATGACGCGGGGGAGAGATCTAATGGTTTATATTAACTTCTAATATAGCAGAAATATCTAGGGGTGTTTGAATTTTTATCATTGTCGGGCAAAGACAAACAAAATCCATCCGCAGACGTGTGATGCGGTCCAAGACAGCACCAAGGGGCGCTCGGTTGCGGGCGAGACACCCTAGAGAGAGGGCCCCATAAACAATGCCGTAAACACTGCATCGCGAGATCGTTCGACTCGACGGGATCCTCCATTTTTTACCAAAATTACTGTTTGATGGTTGTTTATTTTAGGGTTTATGTCTTCGGTTTTCTTTCGGGTTATGGGATTTTTTCTAGGGCGGGTTATAATGCTCGCCCATATACCATATTTAGTATCATTGGATTCGGAGATTTATTGGACTCGTTAAAAGTTTTCGATTAAAATAAGCCAAAGAGGCAAAATGATTAGTCGAAAACGAAAAACGGACAGGTGGAAAGAAACTGCAAGCAATAAAATTGCCAACGGGTGCAGATGTTGAGGTTCTCACATTTTTAGAGAAGTTTGATTGCATAAGGGGTTATTTTCTTGGTTAATTATACGAATACGTTAATAGTTATTTAGAAGCAAATGTGTTATAGGTATAGGTAGTAAAATCTGTTTTTTTTTAATGGAAATGCCAAACAGTCTTAACGTTGGCATCACTAGTAAATTCATCCATGGTAATTTTAATAAAGAAAGTTGGCAGTTCCGGTTTTTTGAATTAATTTGAAACCAATGTCATTAAACGTCAACATAAAAAATTTAGAGACGAAACACCAAAAAAACGAACAAATTCGGTACCGCTAACAGGTTTTAGAAATTTGGAAACAAATAGTTTGCAAGCAGGAAGTTAGAAAAAGGGCCTGTTAAAATGTAGACGCAATGTTTGTTAAACATTCTCAATTTTTAGCAAAAAATTGACAAGAATACAAAATAAACATGAATGAGAAAAAACCTCGGAAAGAACGTAATTAAATTAGTATCTTGTGCATCGCTTTTGAGGAACGAGTTTAAAAAGTAACAATTTTGAAACTAAAGCTGAAGAAGAATTTATAAAATGCATCAACTTTGAGCTCATTTCAATAAATTACACAAAATTTGCATCTTTTGCTAAATAACTTTTTTTGTATATACATCCTTTTTGTTCAAAGTTTTTGTAGCAAGATCCTCATTTTTGTCCACAACATCGGTGTGTTTCTAGCAAAATTTATACAACTGAATTCTGTGTGTCCTCAGGTATTCAATTATAGCGCTTTCAAAAAGCAAACAGGCACACAAGATACATGAAAGTCAAAATTTTGACAACATCTCAATTTGAACACATAACCATAATTTTTAAACAAAATTTCTAGGGACAAAAACAAAGAGCAAACAAAATTTGTGGCTAGGGAGACAAGCTGCTACAATTTTTTCAGCAAAATTTTGACTTGGTAATTTCCATTAAAAAAAAAACAGACTAGTAATACTCGTAATAAACATAAAACATATTTTGCAATTGAAATAATTTGATTAATAAACAACACAAATAATAAACCATAATTGAGACAACTTGAATAACTAATAAAATAACAAAAAATTAAAACTAAAAGTATAATTTCCTCAATAAGTTATACAGGGTGCGCCAGAACTCGCGCCCCAGAGAAAATTTTCAAATAAGGTAAGATACCAGAAACATGAAAAAAATGTTTAAAAAATTCTATCTGTCAAAAAATTTTGACATTTATTTTTGACATTTGACATTTTTTTATATCTATTTAATAATACTGATGATCTTGTATATGTTTTTTTTACAATTATTTAGTAAAGGGACAAAAATTTTGACAATAAAAGCCACAAATAACATTAAACAGAGATACAATTTAGGATACAGCTTCCTTGTTTTCTCTTTTAATAGCCTATAGCAAAAAAACTTAGAAAAATATTTTTCCGACAGAAATAAATASAGTCAAAGTGCAAACTTTAAACCCTCATAACTTCGAAATTTTTATAGATATTTTTTTTAACCTTTGTTTCCATGTTCCTGGTATCTTACCTTATATGGCATTTTTCTCTGGGGCGCGAGTTCTGGCGCACCCTGTATAGGTACTACACAAAAACAAAATTATGTTTTAAACAATTATTTCAGTTGGTATAACTAAGTTACAGCTTGTTTGTTTATGATTCGTCTTAAGAAGTGAGTTTTAAAAATTCCTTCAACTCACTGTTCTCGTTCGCCATTTCAAACTGTTCATAGTCCTTAAAAAATAAATTACAGAAGAAGKAATTTATTTTTAACAATAAATATTTACCCCACAATAGCCGTCATCGTTAAAAATTTGAGGTGGTACGGGATGAATCGGTGTTGGTTCTATTGATGTAGCTCCAAAATTTTTTGCATTATTTTGCATAAATTCTTTTTCAGTCTTGTTTTCATCTTGAGTAATGTCTATGGCTTTGTATTTTACATTTTTTGCATCTAAGATTTGAAATACTCGYTTTTGTCGTTGTTTAACCTATTAAAGTWAATTAGATAAATAAACTTAATCAATTTAAGATAACAGTTACCTCTATGTCTGCAGACGTTGAACTAAAATAAACTTTGACACCCATTGTCACTGTAATCCAATTAAAATGTGTTTATTTAGCGACAGGAAACTTGTTGTCTGCACACAAAACTTGGTTATACTGATAAGCAAAAGAATTTATCTCGTATCAGTGAGTCAGAATTACAGTATTTGAAAACAAGTTGTTTATTTTAGATTTATTCGGTGCATTCGTTATCGAAAACGTGGAATACCCTGCCTATCAAAAGTGAAATTTATAGCTTTCCACGTTACAAAAAGCAATAATTCCATTTCCACGCAACATAATTCAGTCCCGTCTTAATCGAGTTAACCCCGCTCCGGCCCTGTCCAGCTCGGACACCCTCACAAAAGTAAACAGATTGTAGGTGGAGAAGTTGTCAGTGTTGGCAATAAATCCCCGAAAAACTTTCAGTTTTTATTTGATTTATCGTCATTCGCTAGTTAATTTTTGTGTGGGTCGCGTTTACCTGCGCATCCACCTCGACATTAATCAACGGATGTCTCCGATTTGAGATAGGTCCGAGAAGAAGGCCATTGTGTCGACTAAAAATGGAATGTGTATTCGCAGCATTTTTCTGATTTTATCGCAGATTACAAATGTCTTGAGCTTTTTCCGACTCTTCGCTCCATTAACACGAATTATTCAATTGCTTGTAAAGTGTCAGGGCTCAGGGGGACCCGATTATCCGGACGTCACGTGACGTGCGGAAATATGGTTTCAGGGCCGGAATCGGAGCAAAAGCCCAAAGTTGATCTTAATTGTGATGAAAAAAGTAACATTTTTTTTTTGTACACATTAAGAATTTAAAAAATTATAATAAAGAAAAAAATTATCAATATTTCAATAATTTGTTCTGAAAGTAAAAATATCTTGTTTCAAACGCTGTTAGCCACAATTTTTTTATAGGTTTTTCAGAGACTTTTACTCTCTTTTCTTAGGTAAATAGATAGCTATATTATTATTTGAATGATTTAAACAAAATTAAATAAAATATACAGGGTGTCCATTTTATCAACATATTTCATAAATTATTTTGTGTAAAGTATTAACTATTCTAAATTGAATAATCATAGTCAGTGCTGGACTATCGAAAACTTCAAAAAAATTAGTCTCAAAACTCAAATGTATAAAAATAGGAACAGCAAGAAATTAACAAATTATTGTATTATTGGTTGCTTATTTACGAAATTTAAGGAGGAAACAAATGCAATGGGCACCTTGTATTATAGTAACAATGAATCGTCATATACTTCTATAATATTTAWTTTACTAAACCAGGTTTTTACATTTTAGGTGAAATATACAGGTGTTCCAAAYGRCWGGAAACGATGTTATTCTGGCAAAACTATCAAWTTTTTTGTCAAATAAATTTATAGGTGAGCAATGGCTATAAAAATGCTATTCAAAAAAAATTTTGAACATTAATTATTTGTTTATACATACGAGATAAACATAGTAACTTTTTTTTAAATGGAAACCTACGACAATTTTTTTTAAGATAACGAGTTTGTTACAAGAATTGTTGCTGTGCAATTTTTTTTTTGTAAACCTCACACTTTTTTGTTAAAAAAATGTTTGACTTACAAGAATTCAAGAATTTTTTTGGAGTAAACTACCAGTTTTTTTTGGAAATAAATTAATAAATGTTTAAAGGTTGTAAAGGAGCAATGCCAAAAATTTTTTTATTTTAATTAATTGTTTAAACTTTTGAGACTATGATACTAATAATTTTTTTCTTAAATAAAAACGGTTTTTTATTTATTGTTTTACAAAGATATGTTTATGCATTTTATAAATGTATAAAAATAGTTATTAAAAATGTTACAGTTTATGTTAAAAAAATTATAAACTTTATCTGTTGTCAGAACTTTCTTCCACCGGCCAAGGGCTGGTCGGTTAAGACCACGCAGTGGTAAGCACATTAAGCTTATTATTATTATAAATACAGTTTGAAAATGATGGAGACATATTATTACAAAATAAAAAGATAAACTAAAATACGTCATTTCATCCCTTGGTCGGTAAGTGATTTATGTAGGATTGCCGAAGTTACGCACCCATGCATTTATTTSCAATTAATTTGTTAGGAAAACAGAACATGGCACTCTTGCACTCTGTCTAACCTCGAGAGTGCACTTCTCAGTTAAACATCTGAGCACTTGGAGTAATGACGTATTTCCCATGTCGGTTGTAATATACTATTGTTTGTATGCATTTGTTACTTTATTTTATTAAAAAAAAGTATTGGTCATATCATAAGCCACGTCAAGCGAGCTTTTGTACCAAGAGAGGTAGAAACTTTTGAACTGTTGTGTAAAAAATTTCAAAATTACAAACTGTCACATATAGCACGTATAGCATGTATATAGCACAGGGCCGCAACCAGYATTTTATTTCGGGGGAGGGGGTTTCTTGTTAGTCCATGAAAATGAATGAAATGAAAGAAGACGGATTAAAAATCAAAAATCTATAAGTACACGTTATTATTTRAAATTTAAATAAGAGATCCTAATTAAACATAAAAAAATACAAATTAACTCARAAAAGTAACAAAAAATAAAATAATTTTTTAATACTTTTTATTGTTARAAATTTAAACAGGGGATAGAATACTCATTTTTCAAACAAAAATTTTCTATGAACATATATCGAAAAATACTACGCAAYGGGTGCCTCTTTTAATAGTTTTTGTTTCAATATTTCCGAAATCATTTTAGAAAAATATTTCAAAATTTGGTACAGATGATAACAAGTACAAAAATAAAATGTTGAAATTTTTAATTAAGGGCTTACTAAACTAGATGGGATTKGGGTACAAATTTACTCTAACTATTTTGCCTGTYGTTTCTTGCCATACATTCAGCAACAAAATTTCATAGTTTTTCATAAAAAAAGGTCTTTTGTGTTTTTCCGATACAATTTACGGATTTTTAGTAAAAATCGGTTTAAAAATTTATGTTACAGACCATAAACAGCATAACAATTAAAAATTAAATTTGTTTTACCGTTTAGGKCGCCCCTGATTAAAAATTTTGTTATTTGGCATTTGTTTAGGTGTACATATAAAGGTACCAAATTTTGTAATTTTATCTATTCTGAAATATAAGGAAAAACTCTTTAAAAACGTACCTATTTTAGGAGGTGTAACTCCCTTTCATAGCATTTTTCGAAACACTTTTGTCTTAAAATTTGAACCTAACAATAAAAATGAAACACTGTATAATTAACACATGAAAAATTAATTCACAAAAATTTAAAATTAACTCAGTAAAATAACCAAAAAAAAAACCCTAAATTTTTAACACTTATAACACTATACATATAACAAAGTGCTCAGCATTTTGGGGGGGGGGGGGTTTGAACCCCCTAATCCCCCCCTTGGGTATGGCCCTGATATAGCACGTGTAGCTAGCCGGCCGGGTTTATAGAGGGTGTCATTCTTTCTTATCGTGACTGTACATACATACAGAATATCTTATCAGAGTAAATTTTGAGCTTTTTTCAAAAAATAAATAACCAATAATTAGAAAAAATATTTGTTTACAAATAAGAAATTGCTTAAATCTTTTTGTTTTCACAAGTAAGTATATCTTTATCTCCTGAAATGTAATGTAATGACTTTATAAGTAAAAAATACAAAACCTACAAAATTAACACTTTATGCCACTATTCAGAATAATGTTTATAGCAAAAAAGCTTCAATTCTAAATGTCAAAAAAATTATTTGTTTTATAGCAAATTTTATATTTAAGATTTATCACCAAAGATTCAATTTAAAAGTTTTCTACGACTGCTTGTCTAATAAACCATAACGTAACTCATTTGAGTTACGTAATGAATCTGATTATCGCACTAAGTGCAATAATGAAGCTTATTAGTGCTATATAATGTGACATTTCAATAAATTTTCTTTTTCCGACAATATTTTAACTGTTTCTATGGTACATTTAAGCTTACCTCTTATGTTGCCGTTAATAGACGCTTTTCTATAAAATAAGTCGTCAATCACAACGGTTTTTATAAGTCTGTATATTTACCTACATAAAATACTCTTATATTGTCATTTTTTCAATTTTGATTTTGCCATTATTTAATTTAGCAAAATTTCTGATTCAACATTAGTTGGTTAATAGTTTAAAATTCTTGTTGTTTTAGTAGCTATAACAAAATTCTTTTAAAATTCAGAAAATAAAATAATAACGAGGCAAAATTTTGAGGAGCAGTGTCTTAAACACTCTTGTATTTGCAGTTTACAAATGTTGCTTCGASATGAATGAATGAAATGAATGCCTCTCAGGTGTGATCTCTACATATTAGGCGATCGAATGCTCAAGTTCAAAAATGATGTAAAGTGTGTGCGTAAATCATCCGCGTTCATATCCCATTGTGTTCGTCGGCACCGAATAATAAATGCCCGATTAAATCGGCCCGATTTCACGGTGTTGTCCGTATTTGTTATTCAAGCGACTCCAATAAATAACTTCTTAATGAATTCAAAGAGCGCAAACAAAATAAAGCGCGCGTCCGATTCCTAAATTAATTTAATAAATCCGTGGTCAGTTTAGCGACTACTGGCTCATATTTTCATGCCACTTGAAGTTTATGGTTTATTCATTGTACGGTCACGCTAATAACTGTTCGCTAACTTCGTACTTATTCTTTTCGGCATTAATTGAGCTACAACACGGTAAAACGCTAAATTTAAGCCAAAGTTATAATGGACCAAGTGGAATCCAAGCTTGTCTAGACGGTTAATGCATTTATTAACATACATGCATGCCATTTGCGATACTTTCCAACAACGGTCTTAATTGAAAACATATTTCTCTTTGCATATTTACCGCATTTTCAAATTTATTACATGCGAGAATATTCATATCCAAAGATGCGGACAAACTTTTGACGGACTCGTCACATTTTCGTCTCATCCAAAGCGTAATTAAATTTGAATAAAATATAGTCTGTTTTTTTATAAATGGAAATTACCAAGTCAAAATTTTGGTGAAAAAATTGGTAACAGCTTGTCTCCATAGCCACAAATTTTGATTGCTCTTTGTTTTTGTTCCTAAAAATTTTGTTAAAAAATTAATTAAAAAATAATGGTTATGTTTTCAAAGTGAGATGTTGTCAAAATTTTGA